GAAGAAACCAGGATGTGTCTGTGTGATTTCACCAGGCCAAGGAATTCCCAGATGCAGAGTCCCTCCACCAAGGCAGGTCTGCACCTTCTCTTGGGGTGAAGGGCTTGGCCAGGGTCACACAATCAGCACAGGTGTTGGAGGGGGACCTTGAACTTGGGTCTTCCTGGCTTTGAGACTGACTCCAATAGGCATAAATATACTCTACTTCAGATGTGAGTGATCTTTGCTTAATGAATGTCAGTTGTCTATCCATAGCGGTGGAGCCCAAGGTCTGAGGGTGGGAGGGAAAAAGACTCATGAAGGAAACAGAGGTGAAGACTGGTCAAAGGGTACATCCCTATAAAAACACTGGCACAGAACATCGTGCCAAACACAGGTGAGAAAAGCCCATTATCTGGAATTGACCTTAGGAATGAATGGGAAGGAAATGGGAAGGAGGAAGGGTGTGTGGAGGTGTACTTGACCTTGACCTTGTTAAGCTAATGAGTTGGACCCATTGAGGGCTGAGCATTTCAGTGACCTTGTAGGCAGCAACTGTTTATCTCACCAGGATATTTACCATCCTCACCTGCCATGATTATACATCTGTCTGCCAATGCTACTTGGACAGAGGATGATTAGCAAATAATCCACTAAAATAAGTCTCATTTAAAATACTCTAATTGGAATTTATATTGTATGCCTTAAAAATGTCATTATCTCATTATCTCACTAAATTCTTACATTTAGTATCTCTGAGAGCATTCTTAACCCCATTTTACAGATGGAGAAACTGACACTCAGAGAGCCTTTCTCTGCTCAAATCTTGCATTTTCTTATCTGTGTAAATATTGGGTGTCCCCAAGTGACTGTACACTTTCTGAGGGCAGGGAGAGTAGTTTGTTTGTTCTGGCACTCTGCCTTGCATAATATAGCCATTCCTTATTAAATGTTTGCCGAAGAAAGTTCTGTGAAGGCTTAGAGGGCACCTCTTCCCCCTACTTGGTTGAACCTCAGTGAAGTGTCCAACAGCTAAGTGGGTGGGAGCTTTAGCCCTTGGGTGGTGGCTGGCAGTGGGGATTCAGGGGAGGGGGCTCCTTTCATTTTAACGCATCCTTCCTCGTTAACAGAAAGGAAACTGAAAGTTCTTCCCCTCCCCTTGAAGGCCATTGGTTTGGTTTTGAGGAAATGATAATGAAAGGGCATGGTCTCCCTTCCCCAGGTGGAGGGGGTGGGATGGGCGGGCGCTGCCCTCCCCCTCAGGTCTAGAGTGTAGCACATTCAGAGGAAACAGTTGCAGTCACAAGGCTGGGGCACCAAGAGTGGCTACATTGTAGCTAAACCGGGGACGTGGGGAGAGCGTCTCCTAAAGGCTCATCCCGTCTAGCGCCCCCTATACTTGTCCTCCACGACGCAGAAAGCGGCTCCTAGAGCACGTAGCAATTGGTTAAATAGTAACCAGCCTCATCCCGTTTTATTAAGACGACGCAGGAGTGTTGCACCGTCACGATTCCTGCCTTATTTTTATGGCAGTACATCAGAAGGCGGGGCACATTCGCCGGGGTCATTTAAGGCAGTAAACATTTATTAGAGGCAGGTGCTTAGGACAGAATGCAGTGTCCTGAGTTCAAATTCTGCCCCTGACACTTTCTAGCTGTGTGACACTGGGTAAGTCATGTAAGTGCTGTCTGCCTCGGTTTCTTCATTGTGAAGAGAGAGGAGTTGGGCTAGATAAGGGTGTTAACAGCTCTAGGTCCTGTCTTGGTTTTGCTGCTTTCTTTGAATCCAGCCCAACTGTTATTAATCTCTTACAACAGGCAGGTGCTTCGTTAGGGATACAAAGAAAGACCGTAAATGGGATGGTTCTTGCCTTCAAGGAGTTTCCATTCTGCTGGGGAGGGCACAACATGCACCTGTATAAATACAAGGAGGATTTGGCATGCACCCACACAAACACAAACGCATGCAAATATATCACCTGAGAATGGAAAGAACACTGCAGAGGGGGCAGGGGAGTATGGAAGCCTTCCCCCAGGAGGGGACACTTGAGCCTCAGATGAAAGCATTTATTCTCTATTTCCCTTTGCAAGCCTTGATTTAGCCATCAGATCAGTCAATAAACAATTGCTGCCTGCATCATTCTGGGCTGAGATCCATGCCCCAGTGGAGTTGGGGTCAGGGCACAGGGCATGGGGGTGGTGCTACCGCTGTAGGGTCACAGTTACAGAGCTGGAAGGTACCTTATCCGTTCCATGGTGGACGTGGTGAGCCGAGGCTGAGGTCACTCAACCAACCCTCCAACTAACAGGTGTTTATTAAGTGTTTCCTACCTGCCAAGCAAGCACCAAGCTTCCAGTTTTGGAGTCTACAGCAGATATACACATAAGCAGATACAAAATATATACAAGGTGATTTGGGGGTGGGGAGGTGCACGAGTGGGGAGGGAATGAGGAAAAGCCACATGTAGGATGCACCTGGGCTGAGCTTTGAATGAAGCTAAGGTGATGGAGTGCTTTCCAGGGCTGGAGTCGGACTGTTTCGTATGAAGAGCAGAATGAGAAGTCCAGTTTGACAATACCTGAAGGGAAGTAGCATGTAATAAGTCTGGTAAAAGGGTAAGTTGGAACCAGGTAGAGAAGCTCATTGAAATAGGCCAGGTGGGAGGTGACAGTACCTGTGTCAGAGAGATGGGGCTGGGAGTGGAGATACCTCCCTAGACACTGCGGATGCAGAGGTGACATGGGAGTAGAACCTCCCAGGCTTGGCCACTGATTGGATGGGGGCAATGCCGGAGAGGAGCCCAAGAGTCGCTTTGCCCCAGGATGTCTGCCCTTGTCTTTCCCTTTCATTGTTTTTTCCGAGTCTGAATACCTCATCTGCTAATGGGGTAGCCGTTTGCACTACTTGGCTTTTTCCTTTATAAGTGGGTCTTTAGAACCTGGGGGGGATTTTTATCTGAGTGTGGGACGGGTTGCCTTTTCACCCTGCTGTCAGGACTGTTTTGCTTTCTCTCACTTCCTTTTGATTCATCCATTACCGTTGACTTATGCCCTACATTCCAAAGGTGTTTCTGGAGAGGCGGAGGGAGGGCATTGACCTAGAGAGTGCTGGCGCCTGCCGGGAAAAGCAAGCACAAATGTGACGGCTGTTCTGGGTGTCTGTAGGGATGACGTCTACTTCTAAAAGAATTTACCTTGTGCTGTGACCCCCAGAGTTGGAGGTGGCTCTAGATCAGCCGTAGAATCTCTGAAGCTTAGTTGGTTGGTGGTCGATGATGTGGGCTGAATACCGAGGGCTATCTGAGCCAGACCCAGATGAAGCATGGCAACATATACTATATCTGTATTATAATACTGTGCCTATAAGGTATCATATATGTTTATCATCAATGGGTCTCCAACCTAGGTCTTCTTAGCTTCAAGAGTGGGTCTCTGTCTAGTATGTCGTGTTTCCTCTCTCAATCAACGTTTGGTGAATTTCACTGAAAGACAATGGACACAGCCTTTCACGGTTTGTGCTCAGAGGAAGCTCCAGATTGGTATGAGCCAACCCCTAAGGTAATGTAAGCTCCTCAAGGCCAGGAACGAGTTGGGTTTTTGTCTCTTGTTTCCTGGGGGTCCTGGCAAAATACCTTGCACTCAGACCTGTGAGCTCATAGGTGTGTGTATTCCTTCTAAAGACAAAGATCATAACTCACCCTATGGTATGGTCATTCATGTTCTCCCGTGCTCTAGCCAGGATCTGCCTAAAATATGCTGGAAGCCAGCCTCTGGCTCTCTTGCCATGGGATGGATGCCACAAGAGTGGACCAGCTGTCATTTGGTTGTCTAACCATTATTTAGAATGGAAGCTCACTATGAGGAGGGATTGTTTCATTCTTTGTACTTCTGTACGCCCAGTGCCCAGCACATAGTAGGTATTTAGTAACACTTGTTGATTGATTGTTGCTCCATGAAGGGCCCATCTTCTTTTCTAGTCTTGCATTTCTCTGATGACTCTTAAGCCCCTTCTTTGGGATGAGTTGCAGCCTACTTATGCCCTTCTCCACTGCATTAGCCTCAGCTGTAGGTCTCCTAAATGAGACCTGTGATTGCTTGGAAGAACTCACTTGGTCACATGGGAAAAGTCAAGTGGATAAGAATGCTTGTTGTCCAGACTGCTGTTGAACAATCTGCTGAATCCTACTGTGGTGCATGTGTCTTGGACAGACACTGCCCACTGGAGAGGAAGCTGCCGAGCCCAGAACTGAGCCGGAAGAGAATGGGATCAGTTGCCTTTGGGAAACTGCTTTTCCTTGAAGCGAAGGTCCATCTTTTTAACACCAGTATTCTTCTGGGGTTATAGCCTTACACATAGTAGGCATTTAATGAATGTTTGAATCGAATCAATTCCCAACGAGATTAGATTTTGGCATGCAGGGAATTGTAATGGGGCTCCTTCAGCGCTGAAGGGGTGCCAAGTAGAAAACATTTAAGAAGCCCTGGAGCCTAGAGTTGTGGTATGACTTTAGAATTACCTTCAGAAGTTGGCCAATTGACCTGGGTTGGATGCCAGGGAAGGGACCTGGGGACCCTTTTCCAGTTCCTGATTCACTTCATCTAAAAAAGATACTGGACGGGGCAGCTAGGTGGCGTAGTGAATAGAGCTCTGGCCTTGGAGTCAGAAAGACCTGAGTTCAAATCCAACCTCAGAAACTTGACACTTACTAGCTGTGTGACCCCTGGGCAAGTCACTTAACCCCGATTGCCTCACCAAAAAGCAAAATAAAATAAAATAAAAAGATACAGGGCAGACCTATATATGCAGATGTACGCCTGAGGCCAAGAGGATATATATGAAGAGTATTTTTAAGTGTTAGTAATGCCTCTAGTCCTATTAAAGGGAATTTTTAAAAAATCAGCACTCTTATAGAGGAAGATCATAAACATTCAGAAATATCTTAATTTTAGGGTTGGGTTTTCCCAGAATAAGTGCAAGATTCCGCTTTACTGTAGTTATTTTTACCCCTTTTCTTTTGGCAGGGTGCTGAATAAAGATGGCGGAAGCTCACCAAGCCGTAGCATTCCAGTTCACAGTCACTCCTGATGGGATTGACCTGCGCCTGAGTCATGAAGCTCTGAAACAGATTTACCTCTCAGGCCTCCACTCGTGGAAGAAGAAGTTCATCCGATTCAAGGTTTTTTCAGTCAACGATACTAGACAAGAGTACTAGGGCATGAGAAAAAGTATTTAGACCCACAGAAGTTTGGAATTGGAGGGACCATTAGAAGTCCTCCATTATCAGGCCTTTTTTTTCCTTTCTCAGTCTTAATATTGTATTTACTTTCCTTAGCCATCTCCGCTGCTTTTTGGAAGCTTTGGGGGAATACATCTTAAATAGTGAGCCAGTGCCACCCATTAAATAATTCAGTAATGATGCCAACACAAGGCCAACCTGAAAAACATGGGGGCCTTTATTTTAAGTAAAACTCATTTTACTCAATCTCCTCTTGAGGGAATGATGGACTATGAAAGCTTTTTGTACAATTGGGAATCTCAAGGCAGGACTGTTCCAATCTGAGGAAATTCCGTGTTAGGTGGAGCCATCATCTGTTGGCTGTGTGTGGCACTGGAGTTTATAGACTTTGGAAATTGCCCCCAGAGTCTCTGACTCTGTGATTTTGAAAACAATTATTGTGATCTATGAAACATAATAGACCACATTGATAACCAGAATAAAAAAAAATCACATGACTAGATCAATACATGCCCCTCAAAATGCTTTTGATGAAAATAACCCTCATTTCTGTTTAAAATCCCAAACAGCATAGGAATAAATGAACTTTTCCTTGACATGGCACCTTATATTAATCTTAAAAGGAAGATACATATTAAAAATGAGATTATACGAATCCTGCAAGTTTTGCATATGGAGGCATTAGATTGTGAGCTCCTTAAGGACAGGGGCTGCCTTTTGCCTTTTTTTATATTCCCAGAGCTTAGCACAGTGTTTGGTGTATACATAGTAGTTGCTTAATAAATGTTGATTGATTGCATACCTGTAGCATACAAGGTGCCTCCTTTATGCCTCCAGATAAGAGTAAGGATATCAAAAATAGAAAATGAAGTCCTGGGCACCCCAATATCAGATCCTTGAGCCTTAGGAAGGGCAAAATAGGCTGAAATGTAGTGAGCAGCGCCACCATTCAGACCCTGTTCTTGTTCATGGTTTGAACTATCTGTTGGGAGATTATTTTTAATCCATGGAAACATGTGTTCTGGTAAAAGCTAGAAAAACACTATGAAAGTGTTACATTAGGAAATAGAATTTGTTTTAGTTTCTATTGTCTTTTGTAAAAAGTTACAGAGACCTAGAGTGTTTCTGCTTAGTGGATTCCCAAGTAAAAATTGCATTTCCATGAAGACCTATTTATAGTAGAATTTTTGAGTGCCGCAAACAAGTGATTAGTGGGAATGGTGGGTTTAATTTAGAAAGCAAGAAAAGTCCAAAGACCCACTTTTTTTTAAAATAAAAGCCCCTATTAATTTGGCTTTTTCATATTAATCCTTCCCACATCCTTGTTAGACAAAGGAGTATATGCTATTATCCCTACTTTACAGATGAGGAACCTAAGCTTGAGAATTTAAAAAAAGACAGCAGGTTTACACAAAGGATTAACTCAAGACTGGATTGTTAGTCTTTGGTTCTGTTTTTTTAGCCAGGTGAATTGAATCATTCCTCAGTGGGATTGCTTATCTAAGCTCACTGGGTTTTTCTAATCAATTGGACAAATTGAAGCCCTTTGGCTTTTCTTAATCAATTGTGCAAATTAAGGCAAAGAACAGCAGACCAAAAAGCCAGTGCGCCCAGGTTGAGCGCTGGATTGGAGGTCCCTGAAGAAGTGTGGGGCCCTTTGGGTCCCTGTGATGGAGGCTGGCCAGGAGGTTAGTTGGGTAGGGGTTCACACTGATGGAGGGTAGAAAAGGGAGGCTAGTCCTGACAATGAACAATTAGAAAATCACCAGCATTTTCTTTGGAAAACACCCAGCCTTTGCTGACACTGTTGACCCATGAGCCCCCTTTTTTCCTCCTGGGGACTGTTGCCTTGGGTAAAGCGTGAGCGACCTAGTGTCCAGCCTGGGCCTGCGAAAGGCAACTCCGGGTCAGCCTTGGATCAAGATAAGCTGCTTAGAAGTGCCAGGGTCGTGTGATGCCTGGAGTGAAAGCAGAGCTTACTGGTCTCCAAAGCTACCTCTGTGTTTATTTTTAGAATGGAATCATCACGGGTGTGTATCCTGCGAGCCCATCCAGCTGGCTTATTGTGGTGGTGGGGGTGATGTCCACCATGTATGCCAGAGTCGATCCTTCGTTAGGAATAATAGCCAAGATCAATCAAACTCTTGGGACAACGTAAGTGGGAATTTCACACTTCCAATTTTCATGTGCTAATGAGTTTTACATGCTGACCGTTAATTCTTTTCAGTCTGTAAAGACGATTAAAATCACATGGATTTTGAAGATGTATAGTTCATTTTTCTGTGTGTTCTCTTGTCATTTGCTTGGTCTGATGGGATGTGTGTGCAGACCCACTCACTGCTTTCCTCTTTGGAGTCAGAATAGGCCCAATGCAGCATGGGGGCTTAGGGATCTCAACCAGAAGAGGGCTCAGTAGGAGATGCTCTTTTGAGGAGCTGGTTTTTGGTCCTAAGATTTCCTTGGCACAGCAGCATCCCATTGCAGGATTCTTGAGAGCTCTGATTTCCCTGAGGCATCTTTGGGGAGGTCCCTCCAAGGGGGGGGCCCTAGAGCCACCTTACTGTTTGGTTGTCTGAATTTCTTGGGTTGGCACAGGCTCTGAGTAGATTGTGATGAATGCCTTTGGGCATTTTTGAGGTGTCCTGTTTTTGAGGAGACACGAACAAAAATATCTACATTTCTTTGTATGTACCACTTGGGAGTGAGGGCAAGTTAGACAGCAAAGAACTGGGTCAATCCAGGGTTAGGAAGGGTTTAGTTCCCCAGTCCTCTGCCATAGTCAGACCACATCCAGAGGACTGTGTTCAGTTCTGGGAACCACATTTTAGAAAGGACATAGTTAATCTGGAGAGCAGTCAGAGGCCCACAACCAGCATAGTGGCTGATCAATAATCAGCACTCAATCAGCAATCAGTAACCTCAGAGTCATGCCATGTGAAATTCTAGTGAAGGAGCCTAGAGTGTGATAGCTGTCTTCAAATGTTTAAAGAGCTTTCAAGATATATTCTTTGTGGATTCTGAGGGCAGAACTGGCAGTTGCTAAGGATAGATTTGGGCTCGACATTCTGCTGCTAGATTTGGGCATCCAGTTAGAGCTGTCAGTGATAGGAAAAGGAGGGAAGGAGGAGAATTAGGAACCTGCTGCGTCTGGTCTCAGAATTCGTGAGCCAAGCAGGCTCAGGGATCAGAGAAGGTCAGGAGACATAGAGAGTGTGATTAAGTTTGGTTCCACAATCTGCAAAGCTTTAAAAGTAGAGATAGGTAACCAAAGTCACCTTGAATAGATGAGCCTAATCAATGAACCATCTTTATCCATGATGAAGGATGCTTAGTTTTGTAGGGTGGCTTAGCTTTGGGTAGAGGCCAATTTCTCTTGCTTATCAAATGACAACATTCCAGGTTCTTATTTCATTTCTTATCCTTATTGTATATTCTCATGCAATTTGAACTGGTGCTTGTTGATATTTAAATTGCCCTTCCTACTGGCTACTGAGGAGATTCTTTCATTGCCTGTGAAACTCTGAGGCTTGACAACAACATTTCTGGTGAAATTAACTTGGGATTCTTCCCTGTCCCCATGCTGTGCATTATCTTGATTTGTGCTCTGGTCTCTGTTTCCAATACTTACAGAAAGTTTTATTCTGTTTGATTTCACAAAATGTGGTATTTGGACTCTTTCATCATATTTTTCTTGGAGATGAATAATTCTCAGATCATCTGATGGGATTTTGTCCTTTAGATTTGTTGGTTTCATTTGTAGAGCTCTGAGGTCTTCTTAGTTTTGAGATTTTAAAATTTTTTACTCTTCTGCCATCTCTGCATTTTTCCTTTTTTTTTCTGCTGGCTCATTTCTCCAGCCATTCTCCTAGATTTCCTTGAAAGTTGTGGGTAAGTGAGGGCTTCTTTCTTTTCTCTTCTTTTTTTCCCCTCCATCTTAAAATTGATGTTCTTCTCTTTTGTTTGATGTCCTTGTTACTGTTTGGAGGCAGTGCAGGAGAGCTCAGCTTAGGCAAGGCTGCCTGTTCTTCCGTCTTGACAGAAGCTTCCCCTGGACAGACTCCAAGTAGGAATCAAGGCTCTCAACAAGGGTGAAGACTCAGAGCTGAATCCTTCCCACTAGAAGAGACCAGAGGAGTTTCCCAGCCCTTGCTATATAGCCAATAACTCAGAGAAGGGATGATAAAGGAATGGGAATCGCTAGAGGCAGGCATTTTGCTTTCTGAGTGACCTCACCTCCCATGTGCAATGGCCAAATGTAAGAATATTAGCTGCCCCTCCTTAGGACCATTCAGTTTAGGCCCACGTTAGGGAGCTGAACCTGGATGGAGCCAGAATGACTGAACTAAAGGTGGAGGCACAGAGCTGAGTCATTGTTTGTGACTCCCGTTCTTGTCCTCTTCCGTGTGGCCCAACTGGCTTTCCCTGTGTTCCTCATACGGAACATTCCGTCTCTGCTCTCCACACCTCTGCATGGCAGTCCCTGATGCCTGAAAGCCACTCTTCCCACCTCCAGCTTTTCATAGCATCTCTTCTTTCAAGAAGCAGCTCAGGTCCCGCCTTCTCATGATGTCTTTCCTGATCCTCCCCAACTGCTGCATGACCCCCGCCCCAAATTAACTCATCTCCAACTGCTTTCCATGTTTATTCTCTGTGTGATTGTTTGAGTCCTTCTTGTCTCTCCTTGTAAATTACACACGACTCCATTCATATTCGTAGCACATAGGTGCCACTTAATAAAGGCTTGTTGAGTTATTGCACGTTTACATTTATAAATGTTGTAAGGTTGCAGCCAGAGTAACATGTGTAAAAAGAATGCTTGGTTGTTTATTTTCTAGTTGACTATGTTGTCAGACTCAAAGTTGGGTGTATAGGGTAGAGACACAAAGTCACACGTGATAAGGGTTGTCGTGTGCCTTAAATCAGTGGTGTCAACTCCTATAGAGATGGGGGCCACTAAACTGTCCACAGGGATCCCTGCAGCCCACAAATTGACTTACAAAATCACACGTTAAAATTATCTATGTTTTATTGTGTTTTTACTTAGTTTGTTAAATACTTCCCAGTTCCATTTTAATCTGGCTCCTACCTCACTTAGGAGTGTTGTGGGCTGTCCACTGGGGGTGTGTTTGACGTGTCCGCTTTAAGTAATCTAAGCTCAAAGGTGCAGAAGGATTTTATAGGACATCTACTCCTTTAGGTGTGAATGAAGCCATTTAGAAAGGATTCTATGGTGATTAAACTGAGCTAAGGTAAAAGTTCCTTTTAAGAGCAGACTTCATTTGATCTCAGATGAAAAGTGGGAGGTGAGCAGACTCAGAGACCTGTACTGACCCTGTGGCCCAAGTCATTGCTAGTGATGGGTGCCTCCCAACCTTGGACGTCGGTGTGGATGGGAAAGGGGATGAATGCAGAGTAATGGCAGCCTGCCTCCTGTCCTCATGCAGAAGGCATCTGGAGACACGGAGACGCGCCTGCTGTGAGCCTGGGGCCTCAGACTAGCTGAGGAACATGAGTCTCTTCGTGCAGACATAAAGTTGTATTGCGCTATCCTAGAAAGGAATTAGACTTGGATGGCCATGCTACATGAGGCCTTATATTAAGAGGGTGTCAGCCAGTGTTCCCTGGCCCAGGGTGGGACTCACAAAGTCAAGCCAGTAACTGCACTGGTGACTCAGCCTTAAGGAACAAGGTTGCTTTCCCCCCACATCCGTTCTTGGAGTTGCTGGAGGTTTCCAGTTGTAGGTGTGTGGGCTTGGTCACCCGCTGCTGGCTCTCATTGTGGCAATCATCCTTTCCCATGGAGCTCATGGAAAGTTTAATCTGAATTAGACCTTTTCTAATGTTGCCTTGTAAGATCACGACTAAATGGAAGAGATCAGGTCATTGAAAGCCTGTTATAATCTGAGTATTTATGAGATTTGTGCATTCCTCCCATCCACTGATAGGAGCTGGGTTTTCCATGTTTCTGATTTAAAAACACCAGGGCCACAGCCTGGCCATGAGGGCCCCTTCTGGAGAAACCTTCCTGAGGAGAATCTCCAGCCCCTTTAAGTCACTGCCTTCATGACAGCAGCGTGTGACAGGATGGGGCTGAGAGTCTGTCCACAGAGCAGAATCGTGCCATCTCTGAGCAGGAAGAGCCCGGAGCCGCTCTTTAGGCCAAGCCAGACCCATCCAGGAGTCCTCTGACAGTGGTCCTCCAGCAAGGCCTGGGAGCCTGAGGCAGCCTGACACAGCCCCTTCTCCTTGGGGAGGCTCTCATGGTTAGGACACTTTTCCTTGCAGCGGTGGGGAGCCTGGCGCCTCAAAGCCTTGGGTGCGGCCTTTTGACCTAGTCCTAACTTTACAGAACAAATCCTTTTATTCAGGGGATCTGTTCTGTGAAGTTTGGATTCAGTCAAAGGGCCACTTGACTTGAGGACCTAGAGAGCCACATGTGGCCTCGAGGTCGCAAGTTCCCCACCCCTGCGGCCTATAGGAACCCTCAATTTGCCTCTTGGCAACTTCTGTTTGTTACAATTAGCTGTACAATTAGTAGAGACAAAGTAAGTCTCTTCCCATTTCCACATAATAACTCTTCAGAAAGTGGAAGAAGGCCATCTTTGACTATAGCAAAAATCAGTCATTAAGTGCTCATTAGCTATTAGTGGGCAAACACCCACTCCCTACTCTCAGGAGCCCATGTTCTAATGGGTCAGTGACGTGACTATCACCTGGGAGGGATGTACAAGATTCTTGCTGGGTGAATGGAGGTAGTCTCAGAGAGAAAGGGGCAGGGCCAACTAGGGAAGGCCTCCTGCAGGAGGTGGGCTGTGAGCCAAGTCTCGAGGGCAGCTAAGAGGAGAGGACAAAAAACACACAGGGTACGGTGGCGCACTGAGTTTGAGGGGCCGCAAGGAGGGCAGAGTCGCTGAATTTACACGTGCCTGGAGCAGGATGAGAGAAGACAGGAAAGGAAGGAGGACCAGGTTGGGAAGGGCTCTCAATTCCCAACAGAGGCCTTGCTACTTGGTCCTGGAGGTAATCGGGAGCCAGCATAGGTTATGGTGGACAGCAGCGAGGGAGGGGATATGATCAAACCCACACTTTAGGGAATTTTGGTGGTTAAATGGAGGATGGATTGGAGTGGGGAAGACACTTGAGGGAAGGAGGGAGGAAGGGAGACCAATTTATAAAGCTATTGCAATAGGCTAGGCAGGGGATGATGGGGCTGGTGGCTGTTGAATGTGGAGACATGTCGTGATGTTTCAACAACAGATTCAAAAATGACACCAAGGTTATGAGCCTGAATGCCTGGGGCAGGACAGTGGTGCCTTCAACAGTACTAAAGAAATTTGGTTTTTTTCTTCTTTTTGGTGAGGCAATGGGGGTTAAGTGACTTGCCTGGGGTCACACAGCTAGTAAGTGTCAAGTGTTTGAGGCTGGATTTGAACTCAGGTCCTCCTGACTCCAGGGCTAGTGCTGTATCCACTGCACCACCTAGCTGCTCCCAGTACTAAAGAAATTTGAAAGGGGGGAGGGTTTGGAGGGAAGAATAATGAACTCTGTTTTAGACATATTGAATTTTAGATGCCATCCATCAGTCCACCTATCTATCTATCCATGTCTGGTATCATCAGTATGGAGATAATTGAAACCAAGGAAACTGATGAAATCGCCATATGGAATAAGGGGTAGGAAGAGGGTCCAGCAGAGAGTATCGAGGAATGATCAGACTGGTAAGAGCAGAACAGAGAGCAGTGTCATGAAATCCTAGAGAAGAGGGTGAGTGAAAGAATCCGATTAGGAAACCATCAGTCACTTTGGAGAAAGTGATTTCAGTTGAATAATGAGGTTGGAAGCCAAACTGCCCAGAATTACGAAGAGAATGAAAAAATAAAAATAAAAAGAAGAGAGTGAGAGGAAAGGAGGTGGGGCCACCATTGGTAGGCAGGTTTCTCAAGGAGTTTAGCCACCAAGGGAGGAGAGTGCTGTCTGGCCCACACCTGACCATCTTGGACCCCAGAATAACAGGGTAATTTCTCAAAGGCCAGCTCATAACTTATCTTGTATCTGCCTCCCCCTTAACCATTTTTGTTTTCTTCCTCATCCTCAAGACTCTTCTTAGCACAGAAACAGAAACCAAAAGATGACTTAGCATCTCTGCCTTCTTTTGGTTCATCAGTCATTTTCCCATCGCCCCCAGGTAACAGCCCAGGTCCTCCCTTCAACCTGTGCTTGCCAAACACACTGGCTGAAAGGACTCTTCCAACGTATCCCTTGATCTTCCTTCTGGCCTTTGGCACTCCTGCCACTAACCTTATATGGACTCTCTGCCATTTTGTATTCACCCTCAGGCTCCTGCCCCAGCGTCCATCTTTGGTTACCTGTCTTATTTAAATCTGAGCTGGTAGGTGAGTTTCCTGTGGCTCCATATTGGTCTCTTCAGACAACATTCATTTTCCTTCTTCCTTACAATTGTTTCACTTTGTATCTTCAGATTGTCTATCAGCAGTCATTCTAGGCTGACTTCCTCCGTAGAATTTCAGGCCATGGACCGTTGTGTCTTCTTTTGTTGAACTTTGAAATCTGATCTCCCCAAAGCAAAGACCCACATGAGACAAGGCCTGGCTTTTCTTTTTCTTTACTCTGTGCTAGGATTTGTAATAGTCACTTTTCCTTTCTAGTAGGAATGTTGCCTTTTAACAGAGACTGTACTTCTGATGGATCTCTTATTATAAAGCTCCTCTTTCTATCTCTCTCTGTAAGAAATATTTAATATGCTGTTTTATTTCTGCGGCTTATTTATTTCCCCCTTAGTTATACAGTACAAGAAACCCAAAATGCAAATTTACAAATACATCTTTTAGAAAAACAAACCCAAAATGCCTTTGTACTCGGCTGGGAAAAAAATGAAAAAAAAATTTTTTAAAGTAAATCAAACCTAATATTCAATTCTGATAGCCTACTAAGGACTTGAGTTTTGAAATAGTTATTTCCATTAGAGAAGAGTATTTCTTCTTTGAAATTTAATCACCAAATTTGGGAAAGTTAATTTTTTTTTGCAAATTTTTCATGTTTATTTATGTAATGATGTGGGTGATAATTATGAATTATACTTGTATATTTGAAAATTAATTTTAAAAACTTTTGTCATGTTAAGAATAAACTGCTAAATCATTTATCTACAATGGACAGTTACAAAGCATGTACTTAGACCTCATTTGGCAACTCTACCTTCAGTAAAAAGATTGAGTTTCTGTGGTGCTTGAATATATTCACTTTTCACATTTCATTTTTTAGATAAAGGGACACATAGAAATGGGAGAGAACAGAGTGTCAAGGCCCTATGATACCTTCTCATTGAAGGTTCTCATTGAAGAAGTTCCTTTTCACCAATGACTACATTTGAGAGGGCCTATCTCAGTCACAATGATAGCAAAGAGAAAGATTAGACAGAGTGCTCAGAAGGTGTGGTCAATGAAAGCCCTTGGAGTGAACGGCATTTTCCCCTGGTGGCTTTGCACCTGTGTCTGCCTTCAAGGCTTTATGCTTTCAGGGGCACTGACTCATGCCTTTGAAGTCACTTAAGTGACTAAAGAGAAGAAAGCCCGGCAAGCATTGGGTTAAAGCATCACCAGTTTGGAAAGAATTTATTTTGATTGGATGGAAGAAATTACAAAGAGGCCCGGCCCCTGACTTGCTTCCTGCCGTAGGGGATGGCATCAGTGCTCTTAGCTCTTCTCCCTGTTTCTGCAGGGATGTTCTCTGCCTCGGAGAGCAGGGAGACTTCTTTATTTCGTGTGCTTGGATGTTTGTGCCCTACGACCCGTAGGCTAAAGTAGAATTGTCCTCTCTGCTTTGCAGGGGCTCCATGTCCAACCAGACCAAGAATGTTGTCAGCGGCATCCTCTTTGGCACAGGGCTCTGGATCGCCCTCATCATAGCCATGCGGTACTCCCTAAAGATGCTGCTCTCCTACCACGGCTGGATGTTTGCCGAGTACGGCAAAATGAGCCAAGCAACTAAAGTGTGGATGGTAATGCTGTTTGGCTGGGATGGAGCCATCGCACTGAGGGCTGGGGATTGGGCTTTCAGAGCAGCGGTCTCTGTGGAGCCCTCGGTCACATTTCCTTCCTTGCCCCATTTGAACATCGTTGCCTCTCCTCCATAGCAACTGTCCCGACTGGCCACAGACTCATTCGCCCAGGACCCCGTGGTCTGTGTGTATGAGTTAGCCCTTCTTTTCTCCCTCCAGCTGGCTTCTTAATTCTTTCAGAAATTTTTAAAACTCTCCAACAGAACATGGACTGAACAGTTTCTTTATAACGATGGAGTCCCAAAAACAAGAACTGTAGTGGTTTTGAAGAGTGTTGTAAATGGCAGGCTCTCTCTCTCTCTCTCTCTCTCTCTCTCTCACACACACACACACACACACACACACACACACGCACACACACACGCACACACAGAGTCAGTTAATAATGATGATGATGATGATAACAATGGCTAGCTTTTATAGAGTGCTTTAAGGTTTGCAAGGCAGTGTACACATGTCTCATTTGTCTTCGGTGTTAATATTCCCATTTTACAGATGGGGAAGCTAAGGCTGAGGCAAGTGAAGAGACTTACACAGGGTCACACAGCTAGTAAATGTCTAAGGCAGAATTCTAACTTGCGTCTTCCTAGCTTCAAGTCTAGCACCGTTCACTGTGCCCCCTTGTTCTTAGAGATGACGTCATCTTAGGGTAACTATTAACAGTGACGTGATGTGATTTTCCTTTAAGAGACAATGCAGAGCTCTTGGGGAAGGAGGTTGGCAGTTCAGCTGCTGAGAGAGCAGAAGGACTGGGTGGGGTTGGGGCACAGAGTGGGTAAAGTAGGAGCCGAGAGGTGTTTAAAAGGTAATTTACAAGGTCTGAGTGGCTGCGTTCTGGGAGCTCTAACAAATGGGATCCTGGGACTGACCCAAATATTTTAAAAAAAGATTACAATACTTGAGTACTTAATTGTTTGATTTTTTTTTTCCTTAAAAAATCTTTGAATTATAATTCAAACATATTGTGGTTTATAGGTAAAGTGAAGTTTACATACATGCTGTGGTTCAAATAAACATTGGTTTTGCTTTATAAAAAAACGAGTCTATCGAGAGGGAGATTTCTGCTTCCCTATCAAAGCCTAGCAGAGCCCTGCCTGCTCTGGGGATGCTCCCCCGAACCTTTACTGCCCCCTGGTGGAGGTGGAGGTATCAGACCCTGAGGTGGCCAGGAAGCCTCCACTGGGACCTGCCCTGCTATCCTGTATAGTGATGAAAAGCCAATCAGTCGCGTGGGACACTGGGCTTGCAGTCAGGAAGAGCAGAGTTCAAATTTGGCCTCAGACACTTCCTGACTACAACCCTAGGCAAGTTACTTAACTTCTGTTTGCCTCAGTTTCCTCACCTATAAGGTAGGGATAATAATAGCACCTACCTCCCAAGGTTGTTGTGATGTTCAAATGTGATCATATTTGTAAAGTGCTTAGCACAGTACCTGGCACATAGTAGGTGCTTAGTAAATGCTTCTTTCCCTCCCTCCTTACATCTCTGGGAAGCCAGTCCTACTCACAGCTCAAAGAGAGGGCTCAGTTCTTACTTAAACTAAGGGTTCCAGAAGACCAGTTGTCATGTTGCCATAAATCCAATCCAGTAAACATTTATTAAGCACCTACTGTGTGCCAGGCACCATGCTAAGTACTGGGAATACAGTTAGTTTAAAAAAAAAAAACAGTTCCTGCCCTCAAGGAGCTTACACTCTAATGGGAAGAGTACCAAAGACACATACTAGTCTGTCAGGTAGGCCTGGCTGGCCTAGTGAGAACACACACAGGCTGTTTGCAGGGAGTGATCAGAGGAGAGATAGGGAGATGGGAGGGGTCCCAGGGGTCAGCGTCCAACTCCTCTGCAGTGCGTGAATCCCTTCATCCACCCCCTCCAGGCATGGCCGGACAGGGCATGGGCACCAGCTGTGTTGGCACCCTTTCACTTTTCAGGTGGTCCCACTGTCCTTGGTGCATCACAGAAAGAATGGCCCCAGTGGTCCACATGGAGGCCATACTTTCTCCCAAGTGTTGTTTATAATTCCACATGTTTAGAAAAATCAGGAAGTAATGAAAGTGACCAAGATATCGAAGCCATCAGGATAAAACTGATCAAAACCTCAGCTCTGAAGCCTGGGATCCTACATTTATTTGAATTAAAAGAAATATTTTCTAAAAACTCCTTTAACTATATTTTACATACAGTAATTTGGGGGTAATTTCAATGCATCCTCATATATTTTATCTCTCAGAGAGAACTCACATTAGAAGCAGGGTCTCTATTTAGGCCAAAACCAGATTTCCATTGGTTTCTATCTTTTCTTACCTTAGGAGAGAGAAACCAACCAGGAATACAGAACAAAGGGTGGGGCTGGGGGTTCCCCAATACCCGACTGGACCAGCAAGGTGTTTCCTTGCAGTCACCTTCAAGTAATGAGGCAGCATGATGACATGACTTTGGAGTCAGGAAGACCAGGGTGGAAATCCTGCCTGAGATCCTGAGCAGGTCTTTGAAAGTGCCTGGAAGGCCATTTCCTCACCTGTAAAATGAGGGGGCTGGTCTCAGCTGGGCCTTTCTAGCTCTAAGTCTCCGCTGTACCCCTTTCTAGTAAGGGAATGGGGTGGCTAGATCATCTCATGGAAAATTCGTTGGTTTTCTTGATCTTCTCAAACTGATTGTTTTCCTAGAACATTCCATTATTTTTGGTTCAAACAATGTTCGAGCTCCTAAGGATGGCAGGGAGAAGTCGGTTTTTTAGAAGAAAAAAAAAACTGCCCCAAATAACCCTCACATAAATAATTGAGAAGGCACCAGACTTACTTTGTCTTCAAAAATAGTTTTTTATTGGTATCTGTTATTTTTAACAACACATAAGTTTCCCTCTGTATCTTTCCTCTTCCCTTTTCCTGGAGAGCTATCCTTTAACAATAAATAAATAAATAAAAAGGAAAACAAGAAGAGGAAAAAAATCAGCAGAACTAATCAATCTATTGAAAAATATCTGCCCTTCTGTGAAGCATTCCATGCCCATGGCCTGCCTGAACCCCTACCGCCCTCTGCTAAGCAGTGGCAGCAGACTGAAAATAATAGAATTCTGGTTCCACCAGAATCAGAGACATGGTACAGCTCTTGTTTTTCCATAATCTCATTTTAAAACCTATCCGTTCATTTTACAAGCATTTATGAGGCACCTATTGTATGCCAGGCACTCGATGCTAATAGGCTTTTCTTGGATTTTAGACAATGGTGAAGATTTTCTCAGGTCGGAAACCAATGCTGTACAGTTTCCAGACGTCCCTGCCCCGCCTGCCTGTGCCAGCTGTCAAAGACACTGTCAACAGGGTATGTATGCTGCAAATGTAATGGCGGTCTCCACATTCTAATGCTCTCCAGCACTTGGTTCTTTGGTGGGGTTTGAAGCGGTGCTCTATGAGGCATTGAATGTCATCTCAGTGCTCGAAGTGCATGCTGTCTTTCTCCTAAAGGCGGGCATCATCTCTCTGCACCATTGCTGGGGTCGTCAAAGTAGCCGAGGGTCTCACGAACGGGGCTGCCGGATTGTCTCAGGGTCTGGGGGAGTGGCCAGTTGGAGGATGGTTTGTGGTCAGTGATGCAGAGATGAACAAGCACAGAGACCCCTGCCTTCACTCTCCGGCCCTTCAGGCCAGGCCAGCCCCGGGTAGGAGCAGAGACCCACTAAGAGAGTCTCCGTTTCAGGGGCCTTTGCCTCGTCCCCAAGCAGCATCTTACGGGGGCAGAGGAGAGGGTCCATTTGACGTAGCTGGGAGCCTGATTTTTTTTTAATATTTTTTCATATTTTATGATATAAGCTTTTTTTGGGAGGGAGGCAATTGGGGTTAAGTGACTTGCCCAGGGTCACAAAGCTAGTAAGCATCATCTTCCCTGAGGGATCCGGGACAGAGGTTGTGCTGGAGGTTGGGTCCAGAACCCTGACTTTGTGCATGTGGGGGTCTTCGGGTGTGGGAACTCTCCTTCTAGGGATGCCGATTGGCTACTTGTCAATATAAAATCTTAGAAATTTAGGACACTGTTAAGCTGAGGAAACTGAGGCACTGAGACATTATCGGGCTTGCCCACTTTGCTAATATGTGTCACAGCGAGGCCTCGAACCCGGGTCTTCCTGACTTTATGGCTGCTGGGAATTGCTAAGGCATGAATCAACTTTGACTACCCCCTCTGGCGTCCTCCCCAACCTTGATTTTCTTTTGTTTTGTCTCATTAAATCTAGTATCTGGAATCAGTTGAGCCACTTCTGAAGAAAGAAGATTTTACAAGAATGAAGGGTCTTGCTGAAGACTTTTCCATTAATCTCGGACCACGACTGCAGTGGTATCTGAAGCTGAAATCGTGGTGGGCCACTAACTACGTGAGTGCGCGATGCGGGCGGCAGCTCGTCCCCTAACTTGTCATCATCCCTGGTCCCTGTCTCTGGGGTTTGGCAACAGCTTGGTTTTCTGGGTAGAAATGAATGAGAAGATCTGGTCCCCGCCCTTGGTCAATCCACATTTATTAAGTACCTCCTGTATGCCAGGCTGGGCGCTAAGTGCCGAGGAACCCATTGTAAAGCGTGAAACAGTCCCTGGGAGCCATCTGCCATAGGTGACCATTAGGACCCTGGGAGCTAATGAGGTTCCCCGAGGGAGTGTAGAGAGAAGAGGGCCTGGGACAGAAGCTTGGGACATCCATAATGGAGGGTTGGATGTGGATGATGAGCCTGCAAAGGAGCCTGGGAAAGGACGGTCAGACAAAGGAGGAGAACCAAGGAGAAGCGGGACACACCCCGAGGAGGCAGGGGAGCCAGTGGTCACCGGGGTCAAATGCAGCAGGGAGGTGGAGAAGAATGAGATTTAGCAGCAAGGAGATCCTTGGTCACTTTGGAGCAGTAACTGGGAACTACGGTCGCGAGAACTTTGCTTAGGAAATCGAAGAGATGGCAAGGTGCCTGGAGGGGAGAGCTGGCGACCTCCCCAAGCACGCGGGGTATCTTAAAAACCAGGGGAAATCGCCTGCAGAGAAATCCTTGATCAATGTTGAGTTGGACTCCTCGGCCAGCTGGGAAGCCTGGCTCTGAGGGCCGGGCACCATCCTCCGGTTCACCCACAGGATGACGGTGCCCCCTCTCTAGGCCCCAGAGAGGCAGAGGAGGAAATTGGGGCAGTCTGCCTAACAGGCCCCATTTCCCAAACGTCCGTGCTGTGCCCCACTTGGGCGATATGGCAGTTTGCGCTCTGCCCCGGGGTGCATCTGGTTAAATCAGCCTTGCACACCCTGCCATAGTCTCTCTGGCTCATGAAGACGGCTGGCGTGTTCCTACCAAGAACTGTATTTGTTTCTTCCTCTGTGTCTCCCACTTAGGTAAGCGACTGGTGGGAAGAGTACATCTACCTTAGGGGACGAGGCCCCATCATGGTGAATAGCAATTATTATGCCATGGTAAGTGTTGCAGGTTGAACATCAGAATCCGGTGACATCGCCCTGGTGGTCGGCCGTCATCAGGCCGCCATCTGTGTGGCGGACCCCGTAGGGGGTGGGGGAGGACTCAGCTCTGCCTCCTCGGCTCCAGGCTGCTCGGGAGGCAGCCTGCCTTCTCCTGGGGAGCTGCCATCAGGGCTGTGCTTCTCTAGGTCTCTGGGTCCCATAAGGACAAGCTGACCTGGACGCCTCCTGTTTTGCAAAAGTGAAGCCCGCCCGATGCCCGCTAACTCTGCCCAGCCATGGCCTGGGACGCAGGAAAGGCATCAGCTCAGAGCCCCGCCTGCCACAGAGTGACTGAGGCGCAGCCTCCTGCAGGGATGAGGGAGGCAGCTCACCCTTGATTCCCGGGAACACCTGGGTCCAGCGGCTAGAAGGTGTTTGGACAGTGATAAAAGGTGGAATTGACCCATCAGAGAGTGCTGGCGAGCCCTCCGAGAAGTGAGCGCGCAGATAGCTGGCAGATGCCGTGTTGGACCAAGGGCCTCCTGCTCTCCTGATGCTCGGGTGCGCTCCGCCGTTCAGGCCGCTGCGGGTGGCCGCGCCTTACGCTCTCATTGTCAGGCACCTCTTTTAGAAGCCAGTAGAGATGAGGGATTGGAAGAAAAGCTTCGACTTCTGTGAGAGGCAGCTCCCTCTCCAGGCGTAGGGCAGCGCCTGTCCTATGTCAGGTCGCATAGACTTTGTCTGGCCAGGGTCACGTGGCCAGTGTGGGCCAGAGGTGACTTTGCCAAGTTTTCACAGGCAGTGACACAGCCTGACCCAAAGGCGCCCAGACTGCTGTGCTACTGTTACAGACCGACACAGACCTCAACTCGACCGCCGTGTGACCGCGGCTGGCCTTCAGTTAATGTTTACAAATGGATTTGGCCCAGAGGCGAGGAGAGCCTGCTGAAGGTGGCACAGATTTGTCCTTGGACATGGGCTTTTAGGGGCTCCTGGTTTCTTTGAAGTCAGTGGAAACCCTGAGTGTCCTGGGTCCTGACAAACCATAGGGCTGCTATTGGTGGGGCTCAAGAAGGCCAAGTTCCTCTCTGAACTGAGCTGAGAAGACCTTTGTGTTTGCTTGTAAATGTGAGACTTGGGAAAGGTCTGAAACAAGCAGGGACTTTGGGAACACCTCCCCGCAGACCAGACCCCTGCTTGGACTCATTAGTGGGGGCTCTCTCCCGGGGGCTTTTCAGTCGTCCATCCGAGGGGTAGTTGATCACAGATCAGCATGATCTGTGAGTGACTGGCTAAGAAGACAGGTCCAGGATCCAAGGACAGAGCAGGCCCGTTTTTAAGGGAACCGCTCTCTGGAGAAGAATGAGGAGAGAGACAAAGATGGCAGCTCACAAGGCTGGCGAGCTTGCAGTCTGCCTGGGAGCTGCCTGGCCTTGCTTGCCTTCCCTTCCCAGGCCAGGGTGGCATGAGCGGGAGGAGCTCAGGGCGGGGATCTCCCCCAGCTCTGGTCCTGCGCTGTGCCGTCCTGAGGGGTTGGCAGCGTCCCCTGACTCTGAGAAGACCCCAGGGTCTTTTTCCAAGGCTCCATGTTCCTTGTTTGCTTCCTTATCCTTTGCCTGTCTCTGCTCTACATTCCCGGGCCTGTTGGTTTCCCAGCTTGCAATTTTTTAATTTGACTCTGCCTTTCAATACTAATCTTACATCCCTATGAACTGTTGGCTAGGAAGGGATTTTTAATTTATAATACAGAAACGATCGCTCCTCTGAGATGTGAACGAAGATTTCATAAATAAGTAGGGTACTGAAAATGGCTCCCTGGCAGCACCCTGTCATTGAACAGACGTCTATAAAGAAGTGAGGGTTGTCTGTCCAAGGCCAGTGAATTTTAGTAGGGTTGACATGACGCATATGAAACGTTTGAATGCTTTTTCTGTGTGATTTCTTCTCTCCCAATCTTCCCAAGTGTTTATGTCTGGCTTTTTCTCTTGTTCTCTGTCCATGTCGCACTCCCTTCTTAGGATTTATTATACGTCATACCAACTCACATCCAGGCAGCAAGGGCAGGCAACGCTATCCACTCCATCCTGCTGTACCGGAGGAAACTGGATCGGGAAGAAATCAAACCGGTGAGTCGATCCACCTGGCGGCCGAGGCCTGCCGTGCTTGCAGCTCCCCGGAGCGGAAAGTGTTTGCTTTGGAAGGACGTTTCTCAAGTCAATTAGTGATCAGTTTCTGTGAACAACAAAAAGCTTATGTGGCTAATTATTAGTTTACTTCAAGAGTTGGTTTAAAGAAATAGAACAGGATGTATTCTGGAGGAAATGGGTGGATGGGAAACTTGGTAGCACACCTTAAGATCATGTCTAAATATGTACCCTCCCGGAACATGGCATTCCAGGGGAAATAGATTTCCTTCTTTAAAGCCTGAAAAATGGAGCCAGAGAACATTGTTGTTACTGTGAGGTTGTGCTAATCATAGGATGTGATAACATAGCAAAGAAAGAAGCAATGATAGGGAAGAAGCCCCGTTATGGATTTCTGAGTGTGTGTGTGTGTGTGTGTGTGTGTGTGTGTGCGCGCGAGAGAGAGAGACAGAGAAATCTATCTTCATTTGCTTGGTTTTTTTTTTCCTTTAAACATTTATCTGAAACATCCATTTGTGATACAGATTTTTCTGCTGGGTTCCACTGTGCCCCTCTGCTCAGCCCAGTGGGAGCGGATGTTTAATACTTCTCGGATCCCAGGAGAGGAGACAGGTGAGTCATGTCTGGGGGGTTCAAGGCTACCCTTGCCACACCTTGACCTGAATGGGTTTTGATCTGTATTGTAGGTGATGTCAACAGATCTCCTTGAAATCTTTGTCCCCTTCTAGGAGATAGCTTTTTTAGGCATGACCCAATCTGTTTGGTGAAGGGTTGGTTGGTTGGTCTTCTGTCTTCTCAACATGATTTCTTTGGTGACTTTTTTTTTTTTTTTGCTTAGGTAATTGGGGTTGAGGGACTTGCCCAGGGTCACACAGCTAGTAAATGTCAAGTGTCTGCTCTGAGGCCGCATTTGATCTCAGGTCCTCCTGACTCCAGGGCCGGTGCTCTATCCACTGCGCCACCCAGCTGCCCCTCTTTGGTGACTTCTGATCTGATCTGACCTCTGGCCCATGTGGTCAGCGCACCCAGTCTGGCCTGGTGTGGTCTGAGACACATCACCTCCAGTTGTCAGATTCCTCACTTCCCTTCCAAGAGGGGGCCTTTTAGCCCTAAAATTGGATGCTGCTGTCCTCCTAAGAGCCTTAAGCTTCCTGGAGCTTCCAGGCCTGTGTTTTTCACTTTTCCCCAAGTCACCAGCAATGGCGGGTCCCTGTCTGCGCGTTGGCTTTGACTGTAGCCAAAAGCAGGGTGCCTGTAATGTTGTCTTTACGACTGCCGTGCTAATCCGTGTCGCTCTGTTATTTATCTAAAAGGAATTGTCTTCTTTGTAATTTGGCACTGATTTCTCCCATCTCCATCACGTGTGTGTCCGAAGCTCTCCTCTGCCGCTCGCCTGTTCTGGGGGCAGAGACCACAGTCTCTTGAGCCAAGCTTGGCCAAAGTTTAGCAGAGGTCACCAGCCGGGCCTCCTGGTGTGGCCGCAAGGGCCACCCCTCCCCCTCCCCCCAGCTCTTCCTCCTGACTGGGATCTATGAACCTAAGTGTTGAAAGGGGCTCAGCGCCACCAGGTGGGCTCGGTGCCAGGGTGTGAATCCTTCCCGACAGGTGGCCATCAGTGAGGCCTCCTCTGGAAAAACCCCAGTGACAAGGAGCTCACTAGCCTCCACTTGGGGGCAGCTCTCATTGCTAGAACGTTCTTGTATGGAGTGGAAACTTGGCTTGTGGTGGGCATTCCTCTGGCAGAGCTGCAGACCTGGCACAGCCTGAAATGATGATGTTAACCCCTGTCCATTTCTTCCCAAGCCCTGCCCTCACAGCAGCCCAGGGAGTTAGTGAGGCAGGATGCCATTGTCCTCCTTTATGAATGCATTTCTTGAATCTCAGAGAGGGCAAGAGACTTAGCCAGTGACTCACAGCACTGACAGAATTCCAGCTGAGGTCTCCTGACTCCAAATCCAGGGTTCTTTCTACCATACAACCCTGTCTCACGGAGGAAGGACTGGAATATTGTCCTCCCTCCTGCCCCATCAGTCATGGAGAAAAGCCTTGTCAAAGGGGAAATGTCAACCCGCCTACCACATTCTTCTTTCTTCTGATTGATCCCTGCTGACCCATTATGTGGGTCAGGATATGGAAGGATCAGGGGATAGAGACAGGGACCGACCCTGTGTTTTCACTGGCATAGGGCACTCGCAGGTGCGGAAGCTCCCCGGCCAATGCAGGTAGTCACCATTTAGAGCCTTACAGAGATGCCTGGAGCCCTGAGAAATGAGGGGACTTGCCAGAGCTGGCATGTGTTCAGGGCAGCATTGGAACCCGGGCCTGGCTGCTGCTCTGTCCACTGCACCATGCTGATGGCGTGCTGTGGGGGACACGGAAAGGACATGGTTCTCCATCCCATCCTTGCTGGCTGTGTTTCCTGGGGCAAGTCGTTTGATCTCTCTAGGCCTCAGTTTCCTCATCTGTAAAATGAGGCTAAGAGCACCTTGCAGGGCTCTGGTCAGGAAGCTCCTGGGAGAGAAGACTGTCCGTGCTCCGCAGACATTAGTGAATCGTTCGTTCAGTTTGGTCAGGGACCGCTGGGTTCAGACAAGGAGCCAGCTTCTCATCCCTTAACATCCATACACATGCCCACGACGTACAACGCCCCGAGCCTGTCTGCCCTCTTAAGTCGACCTAGAATACACCCTTATCTCTGCTCAGGCATGGGTGGGTTCCTGTTTGCTTTCCAATGGGGAGAGAAGATTTGTAGCAGCCAGTGTTTCACTGAGGAGTGCCAGCAATCGATTTCTGCTGTTTTCAGGATTGGTGAGTGCCCTTCACCCTTTGGTTTAACGCTGCCCTCCTCCTCTCTCCCTCCTGCCCCTTTCAGATACCATCCAGCACATAAAGGACAGCAAGCACATTGTGGTGTACCACCTGGGGCGCTACTTCAAAATCTGGCTCTACCATGACGGCAGGTTGCTGAAACCTCGGGAAATCGAGCAGCAGATCCAGAGGATTCTCGATGACCCTTCGGAGCCTCAGGCCGGGGAGGAGAAGCTGGCTGCTCTCACGGCTGGGGAAAGGTGGGTGCTTGGCTCTGGCAGACACCTGGCTTTTCTTTTGAACATTTGCTGTGCCTCAGTGTCCACCAAAGGCCTGCTCAGCCCTCTCCTTCAAGGCCTGAATAAGGAAGGGTCCAACCGCAGCTCTCTGAATTCCTTCCAGCCTCAGAGACGTTCTGTGATTCCACCTGTGATTCTGTGGGTGCAGTATAGGATTCAGAACGCTGGGATGGTGAGCCAGGCCTCTAGGGAGTTCATTCTGCTCTGGGTCGACCCTGTCACTGGCTTGTGTCCTTGCTTACAAGGACAGTGGAGGACAACAGAGTAGAAACCTGTCTCTTGTTCTGAAAAAAGCCAAACGTCCTTCACAGACGGGTGGAAGAAAGGTCAGGCAGGCCCCAGCCTTTGTGCATGTGAACGACACACTGACAAATTTATTAAGCTCCAAGGAAGAGCCCATACTGTAAAATGAGGCTAAGAGCACCTTGCAGGCCTCTGGTGAGGAAGCTCCTGGGAGAGAAGACTGTCCGCGCTCCACAGACATTAGTGAATCGTCCGTTCGGTTTGGTCAGTGACTGCCAAGTTCAGACAAGGCGCCACCTTCTCATCCCTTAACATCCATACACATACACACATATACATACGCGGCTCCTCCCTCCCCTCAGCCAACGTGGCTCCCCTGTGTCCTCCTATCTTGGGCCCCTTCAATATCTCCGTAGCTTTGTTCTAGGTGCCCCTCCTTTCCTAGAATGGCCTCCCCTTCCCATCTGCTGAAGCCTTTTCCTTCAAGGCCCAATTCAGAAGCACAGGAAAAAGCTCCTCCTTCAGGCCCCTCCCCCTAATTTCTCACAAGACTTGGCCCAGACTGGCTCCCCTCCATTCTGGTCTTTCTTCCTTATGTAAAGTGGTGACCCTTGGCAGTTCACTCTCTGAGGCTTATGTCTGCCTGCCTCCCTCTCTAAGAGGAGCCTCGCTGAGCCAAGTCTGACGCAGAGTTCCGAGGCCCCAGTTGCTTGTTTGCAAGGAGAAGCCGTAGGACAAGAGGAGGAATCCAGAACTCCTTTTAGTGATTTGCATGGGAAGAATTGAGAACTCTTAGAACCCTGGGAAATGCGGACAACAGAACTGTTCGCTGATTCTGGGACAGATGTAATTACAGACCTGATTACAGAGCAGATGAGAAGCCAAGGCGTGCTTGTTCAGGATGAGACCCAGCTGCTGAACAGAAAAGCAGAAAAAGGAGAGGAGGGAGGTGATAGGACAGTCAGTCTCTGCAGCGTCACTTGTTGCCCGGCCGATTGGCTGCCTAATGAGAGGTTAGGGTGCTCTCTACTGACACCTGCTGTTAAGAAGAAGAATAGAGAACAGAAAGAATGTGTTGCTGATAAGTGATGGAAAAGAAGAAAGAGAAGAATAATATTGAAAAGGAATAGAGTTGGAGAGGCTTTTGTCAGCCTTAGAGTAAAAGTCATTCTCGGCTTTTCCTCCAGCCCTACTTTAGCTAAAGGCATCAGCTAAGGCTGAAGGTGGAAGTGATGGATCCTACAGCTGCCATCAAGGATCCGGTACAGCTCAGAAGCAGAGAATCAGAGAAGCTGACCAGGGGATCCGCTAGCCTGGTGAGGCTAGAGCAGTGATAGTCAAGCACAGATTGCCTTGGTTCAGCTGTGGAAGCATTCGTTTGACACGGATGCTATGCTCCTCAAGAAACTTTTCTGAACAGTCCCTCAGACTGAAAACGGGCACCAACGTCCACAGTTCTAGAGTTTCGAGTTGCCCTGGCCGCATGTGTTTGCTATGTGTGCGTGCTTTCCTAGTTTAGGACTTTAGGTGTGTGCACGTTTTCCCCACCAACGCTGTATACATTGGAAGAAATTGTAATTGAGGTTTATGAGTGGAATGCTATGTAAATATAGTGTGTTTATTTTGCATTTCCAGCAAATATTTTGGTTAAGATTAATTGAATATTAGCATTTATGGGAAATACATTAGCAGGGGCTTATGAGCTTTAGTGTTGCCGAGAAGTCACCCACAAGTTATCCCTGGGAGTCAGAGTAGCAGCCAATGGTTGCCCTCTGACCTGCAAAGTAGGTATGAGTGAGGTAAGCTAGTCAGCCTCCCCCTGAGTGCCACCCCTTGGCTACACTAGGATCATAAGGCTTAGTTTCTGTCTTTCCTTCCACGCAGACTCCTGAGGAGCAGTATCTGTATCTCTGAGGACTCTTTGGTCCCTCGATGCTCTGCAGAGAGTAGGTGCTTGGGAATTTTTGGATTTAATTAGGCCAGTGGTCACACACCACTCTGATAGATGTTCTTTGGGCATAAGGGTGGAGAAAGTATATGCCCGTAGTGACTGAAGGATAGCAGCAAAGCAGCAGCTTGTGAAAATGGAAGTAATTCAGAGTGTGTGTCCTGGTTGGGACCAACCTCTGACTCATACCTGTAGCCCAGGAAAGCGATGAGCGGTGCAGGTGGTGCCTGCAGTCAGGGACTTTTCAAAGCCCTTTACATCGTACTGAAGTGGTTCTGTGATCTTATTGACGTGGAACCCCCACAGGCCATGAGCTTCTCACCCAGTCCCGTCTTCTTGTCCTCCAGTAAGTCCTGGGGCATTTGCCCCAGCTGTTGGGAACCTCCCTCTCAGGCCCTCGACATTTCCGGGGCAGGGACACAGCCTGCAGGCTGTCCACTTGGGAGCTATTGCTGTGCTGTGTGACGTGCCCAGCTTCTTTTCTCATCCTGTGTCTCCCTCTGATGAGACCCTCTGTGCCACCTGGAGGAGGTCATTGGCCATGGGCAATATGCTACAGCTTCTATGCCCCTGCCCCCACACCTGCGTGGATTCCTTGGTGATGGGAGCAACCTGATTTGTAGCCAGGTTGATGGGCTTTTACTCCAGCAAGAAGTGTGGAGTCTCTGAAAGTGCTGACAGTTTCCCTGATGCAATTTCACCGACCGTCTTTGGTTTGGGCCCAGTTCACTGTCCATCTGTAGCGCTTACCTGTGGACCGTCTAGGCAGCAACTCTGCAGGCTGCCTGATCCCGTCTGGATGCGGTTTGCATCTCTTGTCTTTTCCCATATGGACAGTTATTCAAGGGCTTAATTCAGTTACCCCAATGTCCGCTGCAAAGAGGAGCGTTTGGAGCCCTGCCCCCACCTATAAGGCAGTACCCCTTTCGTGCTTGCACATGGTGGAGAGAAAGCTCAATCACAGCCCTCCCCTATTCAGCATTGTAGGGAGAGTGCTGGCGCTCACATGGCTCACGTGGGTGGCGGTGGCCAAGACATTCAACAGGAGCTACTGTCATCCCAAGCCCCCTCCTACTCTGGTCGATCTCGCTGCCCTTGCTCTGGGAATGCCTGTCTTATTTATCTGAGTACTGATCACAACAAGGGTGAATAAAGACTGACGTGGGGCAGAGGCAGCTAGTGACTGGCCAGTGAACGCTTCTAGGCTTTCAACCTAGGCCCATGTTTATTAATCAGTCCGCAAACATGTAGCAAGCACTCCCAGCATGCTGGCACCAGTGATGCAAGTACAAAAGCTAAAGATAGGGAGCCAACCTCCTGGGAAGTGACCAGGACACAGGCCACACAGATGCAAAGTTTATAGGACAGACACCTGCATGCACAGTCGTTAGGCACAAGGCCTCAGAGAGGGTCAGGGAAGGCTTCGTGCAGAGCGTGATGCCTGGGCCGCATCTACTAAGGAGGCTGGGGTGAGGAGAGAGAGCGTTTCAGGCCTGTGGAGGCACGGGGTGAAAGGTGGAGCGCCGACAGTCAGAAGAGTGCGGTTATATCCCAGAGTAACGTCCGCTGGAGCTGCCAAGATGGGCTGGGGCCAGCTTGGAGCATTTATATCAAAGGCTTTGGAGCTGCTTAAGTGGAGGTGTGATGTGGTCACGGACATTCTCCAGGGAAGGGGCAGTGGTGTGTGGGACAGCCTGGGGTGGGGAGAGACTCAGGGAGGGCTTGTTGGAGTTATCTAGGTCAGAGGTGATGGGGCCTGAACTAAGCCAGGTGGGAGCTGTGGGGGAGGAGAGGAGTCTGATGGAGAGATATTGGAAAGGTAGAAAAGGTAAGATCCAATCACCTGATTGAATCCATGGGAGACGGAGCACTGAGGAGCTGAACCTGGGACAGCGATTCAGGACCGTGATGCCTTTGGCAGAAACAGGGAAGTCTGGAAGAGGAAAGAAAAACAACTCAGTTTTAAATGTCATCACTGGGCATGACCACAGTTCCGGGACAGGACACGAACACTGAGCCTGCCGGGGAAGCTGAGGAGGCGTAGGGCAGATCAGAAGAGCAGATCAGGAGAGCCAGGAGAGGAGAGAGGCTCCCGTGGCATGGGGTGGTCAGCAGGGCCAGGTGCAGTAATGGCCGGGGGGGGGGGGGGGGAAGGACTGAGAAAAGACCAATCTGGCGATTAGAAGTGGTCATTGATGTTTTGGGAGAGAATGGCTTCTGCTGGGTCTTGACGAGGGCAGAAGATCGATTGCAAAGGGCTGAGTAGTGAGTGCGAGGGGAAGAAGCAGTGACGGTGTAGACAGCTTTTTTTCAAGGCATCTGAGAAAGCGAAGAGAGATACGATAGCTTGGTGATGGCGGTGTCTTGGGAAGGTTCTTTAAGGGTGAAGGAAAGTCAGGAATATTTGGAGGTAACAGGGAAGGAACAGTTGATAAAGGATGGTTGAAAATTTGGGAGGGGGAGGGAGATATAAATGAAGATGCGCTCTGCCGGAGAAAATGAAGGGACGTGGGAGGGTCAAGTGCCTAGGCCGGGGTTGGCTCTGGCCAGCAGAAGATCCACCCCTTTGTCAGAGACAAGGAGAAAGGAGGAAAGAGTGGGAGACGTCAAGGTGTCTTTAGTTCCACGTCAGTATTGAAATTGCTTAGAGGCACCTAGATAACAGGACAAGCGGCCTCGAGGCTGCAGGTCCGCCACCCCTGGCATAGTAGATTGAGCCCTGGACATGGAGCCAAGAAGACCGGAGTTCAAATTCTGCCTCGTATACATGCCAGGCAAGTCACTTAACCTCAGCATCTTCCTCTGTGAAATGTAGATAATAACAGCATCTTGTTCCCAAGTTGTTGGTTTGGGGTTTTTTTACATTAAAAAATGCTTTTAAAATATTTTATTTTTTTCCCCAATTACATGTAAAGACAGTCTTTACGTGCATTTAAAAAAAATTGAGTTTTAAATTTTCTCTCTCCTTCCCTCATTTCCCCCCTCCCTAAGACAGTAAGCAATTTGATATAGGTTATACATGTGCAATCATACAAAACGTGTTTCCAAATTAGTCATGTTGTGAAAGAAGGCGCAGACCTAAAGGAAAAAAAAAACCAAAAAATTTGAAAAATGAAAAATCTGCTTCGATGTGCATTCAGATTCCATGTTCTTTCTCTGAAGGTGGATAGCGTTTTCCATCAGGAGTCCTTTGGGATTTCCCGGGTTGTTGTGCAAATCACGTGAGATATTACTGCTAAGGCACTTTACCAACCTCAAAGTGCTGGGGAGATGTGAGCTCTCCCTGTGGTGGTGGCTGTGAGTGTTTCCATCACTGGGGTTGTTATCATTAACGTGGTCTCTTTTCCTCCTGGCTTTGGTGTGAGATGCCTATAGAAATGTTTAAGGCTGTTTTAACCGGTCGCCTTAGAGGTAATGGGACACTCGGCGAAGACTGCCTTGTGACGTTTGTCTCTGGCGACTGTTTGTCTGCTCGTTGCTGCAGGGTGCCATGGGCCAAGGCTCGCCAGACCTATTTTTCCCGTGGAAAGAACAAGCAATCTTTGGATGCCATCGAGAAAGCGGCATTCGTTGTGACGCTGGATGACACCGAGCAGGGCTATAACAAGAAGGACCCCATCACCTCCATGGACAGTTACGCCAAGTCTCTGCTCCATGGCAAGTGTTATGACAGGTATGGCACCGGGCGGCCCAGAGGCACTGGCAGCCCAAGCTTCGATCCCTGAGAAAGCTCCCTGGCTGATGGGAAAAGCCAGCCTCAGTTATCTCGATGAATCGGAGGCTGGCCTAATGTAGAACAAGCAACTTCGAGACACAGAAGGCTCAGCATTTTGGCCATCTTTGTACATCTCTCTTCCAATTTGTTTCAGAAAATACTGACCCTGTTCAGGCATTCTGGTTTTATCAGGGCAGGGAGCTCTTTCCGCCAGGGCAGGGCACTCCTCTGTGACTGAGGAGATCAGTCCTGGGGAGCTTCCTGAAGCGCAGAGAGTCACATAAGTAACTTCAGAGGGGATATTTGAACTCGGGTCTTCCTGATTCTAAACCAAGCACTTTATTAAGAATTTTATGCTGTCTCATATTTAAAAAATAATAAAATTAGTATTAACACAATGGATATTTCCTCCCCTCTCCCTATCCAGTAGACCGTGTGATTCTTGTACAGGAAGCAAAACTGCTAAGCCTTTTGGCTACGGTCAGAGGAAAGGCTCTAGGCCCTAGGACTTCATGTAGCATAACCAGAGACTGGATGTGGAATGAGGAATGCCCAGGTTTCTCAAATCCAGCCTGTGACTCTGGGCAAGTCACTTAATCTCTGTGCCTCGATTTCCCCATCTGTAAAATGACCATGACCTGCCTCTCTTCCCCACCGGGTTGCTGGGTGCAACTCTAGTGAGATAACGTATATAAATCACCCTTTGCGTGTAATAAGATACTGTATGTACGAGTCTTGTATATGTTTTTCTCACTAAGGGCTGCACTGATTTTCCTCTAGCAAATCAGAGTAATTAATAGCATTGTGAGTTAGATAAACCCAAAACTGCTGCTCCTCCTGCCTTCCGCTACCCAAGCTCCAAGCCTGGCGAGTCATTGCAAAAGTTGCTTTGCTTGCCCTAGGTCACCCATTCACATGCAATCCAGATGCCAAAATGCTCTTGTCCCTCCCCATCTAATACGTTCCTTGTGGGAGCATTCAGCCCAGAAGCACCTACTATGTGCCAGGCGCTGGGCAAGATGCTGGAAATGTGCACACCCCACCAAGCCGGGCATTTGAGAGAAGGCAGCTCTGGAAGGTTACTAAAGCAAACCCAATTAGAGAGAGCGACAGAGATTCTCCCTCCCCTGGCGAAGGGTCTCACCCGGCACCTGGAGGCTGCATACTCAGGCAGTGATAATAACTGACGACCAATCAATCAACAAGCGTTTATTAAGAGCCTACTATGTGCTGGGGTTGGGGCTACTAATGCACAAATGGAACAATTCCTGCCTCTGAGGAGCTTCCATTCTGTCTGCAACGCTAAGCATGGGGTTAAGTGACTTGCCCAGGGTCACACAGCTAGTATGTGTCGAGTGTCTAAGGCTGGATCTGAACTCAGGTCCTCCTGACTCCAGGGCTGGTGCTCTATCTACTGAGCCACCTAGCTGCCTTGTGTCTGCAACTCTTATGTGACCAAGTGCATACCAAGCAGATACAAAGTAACCTTGGAAGGGGAGCCATCAGTCACCCACCCTTTAGGAAGGTCCTTTGGCAGCTAGAGGTGGGGGATGGATTGGAGAGGAGACAGAGCCTGGGGCAGGGGACCATCCAGAAGGTGATTGTAGTAGTCAGGGGAGAGATGATGTGTAGAACTGGGGAGGGGGTGACTTCAGGGGAGAAGAGGAGCCCTGCTGCAATTTGGCATCTTGTTGGCCATGAGGGGTGAGAGTAACGAATGAGGAAGGGAGGATGATGCTGAAACTCAGGGGACGAGAAGGGTGGGGGTGCCTGCCACAGAAATAGCACCGTTAGGAAGAGGGATGGATTTAGGGGGAGATAAGGAGTGAGTCTGGTTTTGTCAAAGGACCGCAGAGCCAGAAGGGACCTCACAAGCCCCCCCCCGAATCCCCCAGAGTCACACAATTAGTGTCAGAGGCCAGATCTGAACCCTGGCTGTCCTACCTCTAAGTGTAGTGCTCTAGATGTCACGCAGCACTGCCTCTTTGTTTCAATGTGTTCCAAACGTCTTGAGTCTGATACACGTGTAGGAAATCCAGTTCAAAACATCCCTTTGTCCAGGAGGTAGTTGGTGTTGTGAGCCTAGGACTCAGGAGAGAGGGTTGGACTACACAGATGGACAGGGGAAATCTCCTCGCAGAGACGAGACTTCAATCTGTGGGAGCTGATGGGGTCTCCAAGGGAGAGAGGATGAGAGCTGACCTAGGACTGCTGGTTTGGGTTTTGTTGTGGGGGGGACTAAATCTGCTTTCTTTGGGTTGCAGGTGGTTTGACAAAACGTTCACGTTCATTGTCTTCAAGAATGGCAAAATGGGCCTGAATGCAGAGCACGCTTGGGCAGATGCGCCGATTGTAGGCCATCTGTGGGAGGTGAGAGGCTATAGCTTTAAGCTGAAAAAGGAATTATTATTCTTATGTCATTCTGTAAAGCTCAAGTTCAAGTGATAGGAAAGTTAATGTGGAAATATTTTGTCAGTGTCCATACAACTCCCAAACCATGCCCACAAGTGATCTAGGAATGAAAAGGTGACCCACCCACTTTGGGTCCGTCCTTTCCTGCTGCCCTGAATGTTTTTGTACATATTGGTTGTTTCTTGCCTTTTTTTCCCCTTAAATCCCTTTTACATCTGTTCCCAGCAGTGACATCGATCACGGAGTCAAATTCAGGGCCTTTGGGGGTTTAGTCCTAAATTGCCTTCCAGAATGGCTGGACCGGGGCGCAGCCCTGCCAACAGTGCCTTCGTGTGCCTGTTTTCCCAAATGCCCTCCAACAAGGATATTTTCCTCTTTTGTTCTCTCTATATGTGAGATGAACCATAGAGTTATTTTCATGTGCATTTCTCTTAGTCTCAGTGATCGGAAGCATGTTTCCATATGGCGGTCGATAGTTCGAGTTTCTTGGTCCTCCCATACTTCCCAGCTCATCATTGCTGCATTGGCTACACTCCCTTCCTTTCCCCACCTTGACTCCTGGGTGAAGCAGTTCGACTATGCCTTGGCCCCAGCCTTGAATTACTCCCATCATCCACTGCTTTCGCTCCTATTCATATCCTGCTGAACGAAACTGGAGACAATCACCAAACTGGGTGAATTGGATCCACCTCAGATTTATGTCACTTAATCTCAATTGGACTCTCACTGTAGCAAAGTAATACTTTTGTACTGCCCTAATTAACTCACTCTCCAAACCTTTTCTTCCCTCCTCAAATACCCAGTGGCTCCCCCGCACCTTACTCTTCGGTAAGAAAACTTGCCTCATATTTTACAGAAAAGATTTGAGGCCATTTTCTGTAAGCTCTCTCTTTTCCCCTCTTGCTCATCTGTCTTACATCTTCCTTTACTCTCTCCTCCTTCATTCTTGGCTCACACAAAGAGGAAACCATTCTTACCGAAGCAAATCTCTCTGTGTACATGTGACCCCATTCCATCTCATCTCTGGCACACTGCCTCCTCTATCATCTTACTAACCTTCACTTTTCCCCAGTCTACTGACTGAATCCCTGCCTAAAAATGCACCTGCATGCAAAGCAACTCTCCATGTGTTAAATCCTCACTCAATCTGTCCATCACCACCAGCCATAGTCTGATATCTCTTTTGTTGATAACTCCTTGAGAAAGCGGTCTACAATTGGGATCTCCACTCCCTCTCCTCTCACTCTTTTCTTGACTCTGTACAATCTGGTTCTTGACCTCATTCCACTTATACTGCTCTCTCCAAAGTTACCAGTGATCTCTTGATGGCCAGGTCTAATGATCTTTTCTCAGTCTTCATCCCTTTGGCCTTCTCTGCAACCTTTGACACTACAGGTCACCCCCTTCTCCTGGACTCTCTCTTCTCTCTAGGTTTTTGTGACCCTGCTCTTTCCTACTTCTCCTGCCCTCTGTCTGGCCGCTCCTCAATCTCCGTTGAGCTGATTGTTGAAGGGAACAGTAGAAGTGAGGAGGGAATGTATTCCAGGCATGGGTGATGGCCATGGGAGGTGGGAAATGGAGTGATGTGTGTGGAAAACAGGAAGAACACCAGTTTTGCTTCCCATTTCTCTCTATCCCACTTCCCCTCCCCCACTTTCAATTTATATTTCCTCCTCTTGTCTGGGATGTATTGATTTTTTAACCCTCCAGCTAATTTCATTTTGGGGGGGGGGGGGTGGTAGATATTTAGGAGTTTGTGAATCAATTTAAAATGTTCTCTTTCTACTTATCATTCTGTTTAAGAATGGAGAAATTCCAGTTGCAAAATAATGTTTTAAGATTTGGAATTTGTTTACATTGCGTGAGCATTTTTTGTGTATCTTCTTAAATGGGCAAAGATTTTGATTTAAATCCCTGGAGAGTATCTATAAAATCCCTGCGGTCTTTAAATAAATACCCACATGGTTCCATTCTTTGCAGTATGTGATGTCCACAGACTGCTTCCAGCTGGGCTACACAGAAGATGGTCACTGCAGGGGAGACACCAATCCCAACATTCCGTGCCCCACAAGGCTTCAGTGGGAAATCCCAGAAGAAGTGAGTCTGGTGGGAGGAACAGGGTTGTGTGATGGGCTCAGCCACCCCTCACGGATGGGGTCAGGACGTGGGAATGGCTCCAGTAACTTCCCCCCTCCCGTTCTGTTCTTAGCATGACCAAGAAGAGCTCAGTCTTCTTCAATAGAGCTTAGTACCTATTTCTTTGTATTCTTTGTCTCAGTATCTTGTTTGTTTTTGTTTTGTTTTGTTTTTACTTTTTGGTGAGGCAATCATCAGGATTAAGTGACTTGCCCAGGGTCACACAGCTAGTAAGTGTCTGAGACTGGATCTGAACTCAGGTCCTCCTGACTCCAAGGCCAGAGCTCCATTCACTGCATCACCTAGCTGCCCCTTTACCTTAGTATCTTAGATGAAGTAGTGAGTAAGTATACTAACTAATGTCTACATAGAAATCCTCTGGGAAATAAGGAAGGAATAGAAGAAAGAGCATTTATTAAGTGCTTACTGGGTGCCAGGCACTGTGCTCAGCTGAGACTGTAGTTACCCAAAGAACAGTGACATTCAAGGTAACCTATACTCATTGGGCATTTTGCCTTTGAGATGCTTTATGCCTGTTATTAGTCTGACCCTTTGGTGTAAAGAGTTCGAGAGTTCATTTTTGTTACCATTTAGGTTACCATAACCTACAGGACGTCAGGTTGGCAATACATCCAAATGAGTAGATCCAGGGATTGCTTGGTCTATAACCACAGAGAGATCTAGGATTACCTAAGAGATATCTAATTAATAATCCAAACAGCAAACACAAGATGGATGAAAAACCTATCTTGTTCAGACCATACCATTCAATTGGGTGGTCAGTTCATTGAATCAATTCAAAATCTGGTAAAGGCCTTGCCAGTGGAGGTGGAGGACAGGCCAGACTGCTCTTAGTAACTCCAAGATGCTCCCCAATACAAATCTTGTGCTGGTGATGCTATCTGGTTGTGAATCTCAGAGTACTGCAATCTCTAAAAAATCATAGTTGCTGAGGGTCCAAAGGGCAATGGGGACATGCTTGGAGGTATAAGGAGGCTGGATGATATCATGGTGGCCATGTGTGATTGGAGAAGGAGATGGGTCAGTCATGTGATGGGTGAGGGACAACAGAGGAGCTACCTGCCCGGGGCCTTGGGGCCCAGGGACCTGGCCTTGGCCTTGCCTGCACCGTAGATGGCTGGCTCTTCTGTGGGCCAAGGATTGTGATGGATTGTCCCCCTGTGGCTGAGAGCACGCAACCCCAGCAGGGTTTTGGTATAAATGGATCTCCCAAGGATCTCGCTTCAGTTGCAGGCTCCTGTTGTACTGGACAACAAAGGAGAGGACTGCAGTGAGTATGTGAGGAAACCATAAGCCTTTGTCACAGCTGCTGCTCACACTGCCCTTTGAGAAGCTAGACTCTTCTGTGTGATGAACCCCAACAGGGGTGTCTGTGAAGACCAAGCTGGGGCTTGTGGTGGCGGGTGTATCATAACAGCCTGGTTAGGGGGTCAAAGTTCTTGACCATCTTCACTGCGCTACTTTCCCATTATCCACTGGAAATGAGCTTTGGCTCTTTTATGGGAAATGTCTTGGTAAGGTATCTTAATCTCTTCCTCTTAGTGTCAAGATATCATCGAGAAATCGCTGAGCCTCGCCTGCACCCTGGCCAATGATGTGGATTTTCACTCCTTTCCATTTGACACCTTTGGTAAAGGGTTAATCAAGAAAAGTAGGACCAGTCCAGATGCCTTCATGCAGCTGGCTCTGCAGCTGGCCCATTATAAGGTGAGACCCAGAGCCCTACTCCCTCTTGTTTTTCATCCCAGGCTGAGTCAGTGATGTGACAAGGAAGAAACACTCCAGGTGGATGTGAGTGTTGGGTGAGGGCAGAGTCTGCAGGCATCTACCCCCTCTGTTTGAGCTGCCCCCATGTTGAGCTAGAAAGTGGGGGGGAGGGGACAGAGAGAGAGAGAAAAGAGAAGGGAGGGGGGAGTGACAGAAACAGAAACTGGGACCTCTTCTGGTTTTCCTTCTATGCAGACCTGAGCCCAGGAGAAGAGGAGCCTGGGAGACACATGAGCAAAGCTAGTTCTCATTTGAGACAGTTTTACTAAACTTATGGGCCTTCCTTCCTTCCTTCCTCCCTCCCTCCCTCCCTCCCTTCCTTTCTGCCTTCCTTCCTATTTTTCCTTCCTTCCTTCTTTCTTTCCTTCCTTCCTTCCTCCCTCCCTCCCTCCCCTCCTTTCTGCCTTCCTTCCTATTTTCCTTCCTTCCTCACTTCCCTCCATCCTTTCCTCCCTTCCTTCCTCCCTTCTATCCATCCATCCATCTCATCCAGTCCAGAAGCATAGCAGGCCCTTAAGGGCCCAATCCCACTACTGATTAGCGTGGATGCTCCCTGACCCATTGCCTCTAGGCTGCACTGATTCAGCCCTCCTTGGGCAGCCCAGTGGCCCTCAGCTTCCATGGGCTCACTATGATGGTGCCAGACTGTCTGCAGACCCTGACCATCTTAAGCCCTGCTGCGTGTCCGAGCTCCTGAGCTCAACCAAACCACTAGCCTCCCCCTCCCCAGCAGCCAGGATTACAGGCATGTATCACCATGCCCAGTGATAACATTTCTTTTCTCTGGAGAAAAAAAAAAGGCTTATTTAGCTTGCCAGAAAACCCAATGATCCCCTCTAAATATGCATGCCCCAAGAAGCAGTGCCTTGACTAGCAAGCTGGCCACTTCAGAAAATGGGTGCAAGGCTTCTTGTGAAGGGGGCTGACTGGGCCAGCCCCACCCACCTTGTGATTCCTGCTTCTCCCTCCTCTAGGGGCAATGATTGGGGTCTGCTTGCTCAGGATAGTGCCTGTGTTTTCATTGAAAAATTGTTTCTTAAATTTCCTATTCAAAAATTTTTACATTTCTATCTTGATAAATATGTTTGTATGTAAGCTGGCCCACGATGACTTTTAAAAGTCCATATTCCTGGGCTGCCTTTCAACACGGGGCTTTGAAGAGTTGTCGCATGTGAGAAGGACTAGCCTCGTGCTGCTTGGCCCCAGATGGAGGCCCGGGGACAGTGGGCAGGAGCCCCTGAGGGCTAAATGTCAGAGAGAACCTTCTGGGAGTGAGAGCCGTCCCTGAGTAGAGTGGTTGGGTGTCTAGAGAACGTTCTGGGAGTGAGAGCCGTCCCTGAGTAGAGTCGGTTCCCTTGGGAGGCGATGGGGTCCCCCAGACTGGTTGGACTCCTGCTTCGGAGGACCTATCCTGTCCCAAGAGTCCGTGATTGTAATTGAGCCCGCCAGTACTCTTCGATGTGTTTTCTTTGGCCGAGGCTAGAACCAGACCACCTGTGATTCTCTTCAGCAGACCCTGCCTGTCCCAGGGAGAATCTGCAGGTGGCTGATGGTTTGTGGCCTGTGCTCGGGCCTCAGATTTCCAGGTCTCCATGGATTCAGGGCCAGGAAGCTGTTGGCTTTGCTGCGGCTCGGTAGAAGTTAGTGATGCCAGGCTGCCCGCCCGTAGTCGCCTCTCTTCTCGGGGCCCGCAGTGAGATCTGGGCGCTTCAGGTCAGGCAGCCGCTCTGAGAGTAACATGAGTTGGTTCTTTGGCTCAGTCTCTGCTTTCATGGCGTTTGTATACTAATCTGCAGTCTGTGCTCCTAGGTCTAAGCCAGCAGGGTTTTAGATCAACCTTTCTCAGACTGGATTCAAATGCATGGCAAGTCTGATCTGTGTCTGCATCTGGGCTCTGCACTGAAAGTCTGGCCCGTAAAAATGTTTGCATCTTTTGTTTCAAAATTGTCTTTACAAAGGGCCCAAATGCTCAGTTTGGCTTTTCAAGCTCCCCTGTTTCTGATGCTCCTTTTCCCTCCTTATGCGGGTGGTTTACATTGTAGAGTGACATTCTTGACACATCACCATGTCATCCTCCCTCACCCTCCCCTGACACCCAGGTCCCTGGGGAGAATAAGACAGGCTTGGTTTTTAGGCACCCCCTCTCCCCTCCACCAGCCCAGAGAGTTCGGTTCATAGGGGACTGGAGGAGGACATTTAAAAGAATCCTGTTTTGAGCTGGTTTTCCCTGTGATGGACCCAATGGGTGGGTTTGATTGTGAGGAGAGTTCCACTGATAACAGTTGGAGGTCTGGGACCAGAAATCTAAGGGGGCTCACTCTCCAGCAGGCTGTCCCTGTCACCCCCGGGCCTGGGAGAAGGTCTCTGATGTTCTGGGGAGCTGGCCAGAGCTTAGCGCACATCGACACAAGTTTTAGGGGACTTCCCATTATAGCAGAGTGAGATTAGCTTTGTGAATGGAGCATAGAAACATCCTTGTGTCTATTTAGAAACCACTGCAGAATGGCACCAGCATTCCTCCTCCACAACCTCTTTGGGTCATCCTTTGCCACCCAGGATGACGGATGTCGCTGTCTGTTTGCCCCGACTCCACTCTCTGGAAGGGACATGAGGGACATCCAGAGCCCTGGTGCATCCTCTAGCGCTTGTCAGAGGATCAGAGATCAGGCCTCCAGTCTCTTGCCCCCCAGCTGAGTGCTCCTGCCTTTTTGGCTGGTGTTCAAGCGTCCTCTGCTCAGGAGATCTCTGCAGGGGGGTCTACATTCTTGGACAGAGTTGTCCTTATCAGCCTGATGGAGGTTGAGGCATGAGGGTTGGTTCAACCTGGCCCCCAGGGCAGGAGTTCTCCACACCTGTGACTTTTTCCTTCCTGCCCCTCTTGGCCCTCTCAAGCCTAAACCAGCCTTGCTTGGTGGGGGCATGGGGGCCTTTTGCCCGAGCATTCTAGCCATGCCATCTGGGGCTGGTTTGGAAACCGGCAGTCCCGTGCTCCCTTGGCAGTCAGTACAGGGTTCACTACGATAAAATACTTGGCAAGAAAATCCTGAGCTGGCTTGGCATTAGCCTCGCAGCCAGAATACTGGGGTGCACGTCCTCATTCCAACACACGCACTTCTCCGGTCATGTGACAAGTGGCCTTTCCCATCTTGGTGGCCCGGGGAGCTCTCCAGGCCTCTTCATCTCAGAACATCTGCTGAACAGCACGGACAGAGGAAGTTCCTTCCCCAAGGGTCCCCTCTGTCAATTAAGTCCCAGGCCCAGATAAAGCAGAAAATATTCTCTCTCTGGAGCTTCCATACAGAGTTGTGAGGAAACTGTGTGTGCCATATAGATGTTACCTGCCATCAGGAGACAAAGGAATGGTGATGGACGTGCTACCCAGCTTAGATCCCTCTGTGGGCCACCATAGGTCTGCGTGCTTGGGATCCTCCCCATCTTTTCACAGATTCAGACCGCTCAGAGGCAATCTCCCTTCCCTGTCCCTTCTTGCTCCCACACAAGCACTAGTCGGGTGTGTTCAGTCAGGAGAGGCCTCCCTGGAAACCGTGGTTCCCCAGAGGCTGAGCTCGCCCAGCCCAGGGAAGATCACACATGCTCATACGTGTGTAGTACATTCATGCATGTACGTGGATGTAGATGATGTTCTATGCCCATGGGTGAAGAAGCTCAGCGTCCATCGCTACCATTTCTAAAAAAATTATTATTGCAAATGAAGTGGTATTGATATGTGGGATGGTCTTTTCCTTGCTAGGACAAGGGCAAATTTTGCTTAACGTATGAAGCTTCCATGACCCGCCTTTTCCGAGAAGGACGAACAGAGACTGTCCGTTCCTGTTCTATGGAGTCTTGCAACTTTGTGCTTACCATGGTGGACCCCATGCAGACGGTGAGTGGACAGAATGCCTGGCCATTCATTCAGTGACTTGTGCTGTCCAAGGTTCTGAGCCCATCCAGTCCCATACTTCCTTGCAGTACAAGTGGTATGAACCAAAGGGGGCGCCACAAACATGTTGTCCTTCATCAGCTCCATGCTGATGCTCTAAGCTGTGATGGCCTATGTCTGCCTCTTCTTTGAAGCAGAAGGCATCCAAGCTAGAGCAGTACAAGCAAAACTTCATCTCCCAAGGCGTGGGTGGTGGCTGACCTTGAAGGCCAAGGGGCCTCTGGAGAGTGGGAGGAGAAGTAGTCCCTGAGGAACAGGGAATGGGATTAGGGTTAACTAGCTTGGAGAGTCGGGTCAGACCCCAGTGATGCCCACGCACTTAGCACAACCAACCTGACGACACCGCTCCTCTACAAGGCGTTTCCACGAACAACAAGGTAGTCATCACTCACGTGGATCTTCGTCAATGACCTGCTCAGTCAATGGGCGGGGCAATTCTTAAAGTTCCTTTCAGCCCAATGATTTTTGGGCATGTTTGTGTTCTAATAATTTCTTTTTTTTTTAATCAAATATAAACTTAACTAAAAACAGCATTTTAAATAGAAATACTCCATTTTTGGCTAAACTAACTTTGGAAGTTTACTCATAGCCTGTGGCAAAGATGAGTGTGGGTGATGGGACTGAGGAGCTAGAAGAGAATTTGGTCATCTGAATGGATATTATTATATGCCGGGCATGTGCTGGGCCCTGGGGATACAAGGACAAAAATAAAACAGCCCTTGTCCTTCAGGACCTTCCATTCCATTGAGGGATATAAGATGGACACATAAAGTGAAATACTAACTATAGGAGATGGGAACTGAGCTGGTGATTTCCTGGTTTGGAGAAACTCCCTCTGCCAATGGAGGACAGCACCTTCTCTGAAACTTATGGTCTTAGCGAGATGCCTGGGGCACCATGAAGGCCGGGAATTTACCTGGTGTTGTATAGCCAGCATGTGTCAGAACTTCCTAGCATCAAGGCCACCTCACTATCCACTATACGACACTGCTTCTCAAATATGAAATACATCCCAAGTAATTTTGTGGAGGAGGATATGGGTCTAATATGGAGGGCAGTTTCCCACAGAATGATTTACTATATTATCCTAATAACACCCTAATGGTGAGTGTGGCCCTACAAAGGCTTAGCTGGCTCTCTCCATGGTCAGGGTAAGAGTAGAGGTGAGCCTGGGAGGGCCATCAGAAGAGGAAGGAGGAAGAGGAGGAGGAAAGATAGAGCCATGGGAAGCATGTACTTCTGGGTACACTGGGAACACTGGGTCTTCCTTTGTTGACTCAGCTAAAAACTCTCCACCCCTTTATCCGAGGCCCAGCCAGGCCAGTTTTCTGTGTGAGGAACCACCCCACCCTCAGCCTCCTTCAGGTGACCACTCATCATTGGCCTCATGCGTTAAATTTTTCCAGTTTGAGATTTCAACATATGCTCTGTTGCTGAAGCCCTTTTGAAGTCTGGTCACCTTCACACCCCAAGGAGGCGTCAAAGTAGGACTTCTCTGCAGAGGGCTGAGTACATCATAGTTCATATTTCTTGAAATCTCAGTTTTGTTCTAACAAAGTAGGCAAGAGTAAAAAAAAAAAATATCTTATTTGCGTGGGACAACCTCTACTACATCCATACATTGACCACCGATGGGGGCCCATTATTTTGGATCCTGCTCACTGGAGAATCCAGCAGCCTTAGAAGACAGTTTTACACACTACAGCTTGAAACAACCACACATGCATCATATTTTTTTCTCTTTCTCTCTGTTATTTAGGTTGAAAAAAAGCTCAAATTATTCAAAATTGCAGCTGATAGACACCAACACTTGTATCGTCTTGCCATGACTGGTGCTGGCATTGACCGCCATCTTTTTTGCCTTTATGTGGTCTCCAAATATCTAGCTGTTGATTCTCCTTTCCTGAAAGAAGTAAGTAATTTTGGCACAGGTATTTGACTTGTCTCACTCAGCTAAATCAAACCACACCTTTGGCATCAAAAGGGCTGATTGACAAGCATTTATTAAGTGTCGGGTATGTGCCAGGCACCAGGCTAAGCCCCAGGGATACAAAAGCAAAAACAAAACAGCCCCTACCCTCAAAGAGCTCATATTCTAACGTGAAAAGGCCAGAACTAAGGATTAGGAATTTTAATAAAAATAAAATATGACCCAGAATTCTAATGTATTAAAGTTCCTTGTAAACAATCAGATACATGACTCTTCTGGCATAAGTAGATATGAGAGTGCATGACTGGTCACATTTGTGTGGGGTGATAAAATGCTGCCCTGCTGACTGGTTGAAACAGAAAGGGCATTAGACTTTCCAGGGTAGAACCTTCAGAGCACTGACGAAGACAGGAAACACCAGGATGTCTCCAAGTTTATATTCCTGTAGGATTCGGATTTCTGTGAATATCCTCAAAACGAGTGCTTTATATGGAATCCAGCCTGTTCTCACCCAGTTCTCTAACACCATTACTGAAAGCATACAGTTATGTCGGCCTGGCTCAGTTGTCCCAAGGACTGGATTCATGTCCTGTCTTCTGTTTCCTGCCTATGGGATTTCTGGCAAATCTCTCCCCTCCAAGAACCCCATTTTCTCTCATCAGTTAGATACGGGATGGGAGGGGAGCAGTGATCCCCAAGATCCTCTTTTAGTCTTCTGCTCTTCCTTCATCTGCCACACACAGTCCTTGCAGTGGGGTTAGGGAAGAACGTATCACACAATTGTCATATGTGAAGGTGAATACTTCCTGGGGGCAGTATGAGCCCTCCGTGTCTAAAAGAAGGTCAAGAGACCAAACGGGGTCGCCAGGGGCCTCTTCATTCCTCTACCTTTTAATCATCACCCCCCACACCCACTTCTGCTTTCCCTCTGCCCCCAAAATTCTCTCTACATAGAAGGAAGTGTCATTGTACATCCCTAAATTCTACCCAAATCCTGCTCTAAAGGTTTTATCTGATCCATGGAGATTGTCAACTAGCCAGACACCTCAACAACAGATAGAACTCTTTGATCTGGAAAGGAATCCAGAATACGTGTCCAGTGGAGGTGGCTTTGGACCGGTAAGTAAAATATTTTGTTGTTCACTTGTGTCTGACTCTTTGTGACCCCACTGGGGGTTTTCTTGGCACAGACACTGAAATGGTTCGCCTTTTCCTTCTCCAGTTCATTTTACAGATGAGGAAACTAAGGCAAACAGGGTGAAGTGACTTACTCAGAGTCATATAGCTAGTAAGTGTCTGAGGCTGGATTTGAACTCAGGTCCTCCTGATTCCAGACCCAGTGTTCTAGCCACTGTGCCATCTGGCTGCCCAAGTAACATACAGGACTGGTGAAATGTGCCAAGTATTCCGAAGGCGCATCAGATAGCATGTAATGCCTTTGTCGATTAGTGATCTCGTTTTTTGAGATACTCCCCCACCCCCACCCCCGTATCTATTCACTAACCGTCGTTAGGCAGATTCCTGATTTTGTGCCTGTCTTTCCTGCAGGTTGCTGATGACGGTTATGGGGTGTCCTATATTATAGTCGGGGAGAACCTCATCAATTTCCATGTGTCCTCCAAGTTCTCCAGCCCCGAGACTGTAAGTGTAAAAATGGTCCCTCTCTTTGCTGTGATATGTGCTCATTCTGACCTTTATTTTTTAAAGGGTGCCTTTTCTATGTGTCTGATCATTAGATTATTTACTGTTGCTAGTGAACTGTGCATAAAGGGCTGCAAAGACAAATAGAAGGGAGTCTTTGCCCTCAATAATTGACTCGATCATGGTTGGTAGCAAAACCTTAGGGTGGGTCTACACCGCCACACCAACCTTGGAATTCTTGGCATGAGAGCGTCTCTGAGCTGGAAACTGCCTCATAAATGGATAAGGTTCTTTTGGGCCCTTTAGCAACCAAGTCCCATTTGAAGGAGTCCAAGATGATGATGTGGGGATATTACAGTTTAGGATCCTTCTGTACTCAGAATAATCTGTTTCTCTTAGCTACGAGGACCAGAGAATTAGGGCTGACCTGTATGCTTTTTCACGTCGGCCTGCCTCGCCTTTGTCACTACCGTTATTGTTCCTGATGGCGCCATGTCCCCGTGATTCCATTATTGGGATGTTGATGCCCGCCATCCCTGTGTTTTGGGGTCTGGGGGTGGGTGGGATGCCCGGCAAAGAGTTGGCCATAGTAGACAGTGGAGTTTCTTTTAGGCCCCGCCTCACTGAAAGAAATGCCAAGTATTGCTTGGAGGCGCAAGAGGATTCTGAAAGCGTCTCAAAGAACAAAAATCCTCCTGAGCCCCTGGGCCGTGTACATGCCCGTGTGTTTTCTCCTCTCTTCCTTCCCTGGGCTACAGGTGCTTATAGGAGAGACCAAGCATCTCGGACCGAGCTCAGAATGAATGAATGAGCCTCAGTAGCCGGAGCCCACAGGGTCAGGGGTGGGACGGCTTCTGCCTGTGAACGTAGCACCTTGTGGACGTCGCCCCTTCGGGCTGTGGGCTGGGCCTGTGCCTGGCTCTGCCCTCCCCTGCCCCCCATGCTGAGGGTGGAGGCCTCTGTGGGCCTTTCTGCCCCCAGGTAGAGGAGCCCGCCCGGCCATGTGGGGGCCTCATTGTACACGCCCCGCTGCTGCCGCCACCCTCAGGCTCGCCATCGGTTCCTTCTTGTTCCATGTGTCCTTTCACATCCCTCCTCCAGCCACACTGTCTTTGCTGTGACGTCCTGGAGGGCCCTTCTTAGGGAGCAATCATGCCCCTGGAGCCTCTCTAAGCAGCCCTTTGGGCCTCCTGCAGTTGTTTTGGGGAAAATGGTGGTGTTCCACAGTCACCGTCACTTGAGAGTGTGTGCGGGCAATTGTTGGTGTTGAAAAGACCTGCTTTTGGGGGCAGTCAGAAGTTGTGACACCCCCAAGTGTAACCCAGCCTGATGACCTCTTCCTCCACCTCCTCCTCCTCTTCCTCCCATGATTTATGCTGAGCCCAGCTCCTTGTCTGCCTCTTAATGGGGCACCCTTCAGTGCAGCTCAGCAAATACTGATAAAGCACCTACTATGTGCAATATGGCCTTTGGTGAGCCTCCCAGCTTCCTTAGGTTTCAGTTTCCTCCTATGTAGAAGGAGGAGGTCAGACTTACTGGCTTGGGGTGCCCCCCCCACCAGCTCTCAGTAGTATGATCCTACAGAAGCCCCTCAAGGTAAGATGACCACAGTTTTCCTGAAGTTGTTTTCTCTTGTTGATTATAGGCATGTGCTGAGACACCCCTCTACCCACCTCCTCTCCTGTGCTCCCAGTAAACCTGGGAGCTGCCCTTCCCTCCTTGTCCACGTGGATGTGGCCCCATTCCATTCCCCAGCACTGTGAAATGAGGGATCATTCTCTGGAAAAAGGATGATCCTTCAAAGTCCGTGAACTTGTATGCTTAGAGGTTGGGGTCCCCAAGGGCCACTGCCAAAAGGCTATTTGTAGATGATGACCCAGCTGGGATAAAGACTTCCCCAAGTCCTGGTGAATGGGCTAACAGAAGGAAGGAGGGGAGAGTCTCAGTGCTGTGTGGGCAGCATCAAGCATCAGCAGCCCCTGCCATCGTCGGGAACCCTTTGATGGAATCTTCCAAGGGTCACTGTTTCCAACTTTGCCTTGCATGTAGAGAAGGCAGAATACACCCTTGTGTTGGGGGCGAGGGGGAGTATCACACAGCTGGCCACCACCTCTAAGCTGTCATCTCATTGACTGCTTGACTTTCTGGGGTGAATGAGTGAATTTGAGAATGGTGTTGACTTTGGGAAACCATCTGATGTGGCAAGTTTTCACCTTTTGTTTTGTTCTCCATTGACATTAAAGGATTCTCATCGGTTTGGAGCTCACCTGAGGCAAGCCATGATCGACATCATCACCTTGTTTGGATTCCATTCCAACGCCAAAAAGTAATTCCAGTTACGCCCATTGTGGAGGAAATGGGACTCTTCTGAAAAACCAAATAAGACTGGACATTGCATTCCTTTTGTAGTCAAGGGTCAGAAGATGCTCTTTTCCAGAGATGGTTTTGTCCTTAGGTTTTTGTTTTCTTTTGTTTTCTTTTGTTTTTTAGACAGAGAGGGAGAGAAAGTATATTATACGAAGAAGTATAATTTTGCTACTTCTAGGTATGTCCTAATGATGTGAATGCTTGATTTCCCCTACTAAAGTCTTTGTCTTGTTTAAATTTCAATAAGTGAAGGGATTGAAGTATTGTCCAATTAATGTAAGTAGAGGAATTTTGATGTAATATATGTGTTGGGAGCAGAAATAGCATGTTTCCTCAATTGTGACTATATATCTGGTACTTACGGGCATTTAACTCCTATTATCAGAACAGATATATATGCATTACATATTTTTAAAATTGTTTAAATTGGAAGTGTAACCAATGGACATAGCCATGTCATGCACTAATTAAGAATGGGGCAGCTGTTTGGAACAAGCTTTTGCCATGATGGAGAGCTCGGTTACTTATACTGCGTAAGAGAATAACCACCCCCTGTGTTTGCTTCTCTAGTTTTATTGATGTGGGAATAAACCTTGAGTGTATTTATAACCCCAGTGCCTTAAAAATACAAGGCCCTAAACACAAGAAAAATCTTACACAGATTGTATTATAATTATGAAGTCTATTGCTGAATTGTGGGATTACGAATTCCATTCTCTTATCTTTTTTTTTTTCCACTTGGGTTCAGTCCTGGAATGAACTTGTGAGCAGAGTATGAAACACAGGCAGGCATATGTGTCTGGCTTTCCCCTCACACAGAGTCCAGCTTTCGTGTGTGTGTGTGTGTGTGTGTGTGTGTGTGAGAGAGAGAGAGAGAGAGAGAGAGAGAGAGAGAGAGAGAGAGAGAG